TTGGATATTTTTTATATATATAAATAAAGTAGCCGACTTATTTTTTATTTTTAAAAAGTAAGTCACTGGATTTTCTCGTTTTCATACATTTTATAAACGAAATATTGTCCACACTCTTTTCTCGCTACAATAGTGCAGTCTTTATGCAAAACTGAAAGTTGTAGACAACATTGGAAAGAGGTCCATATTTGAAAGTAATGTGTGGCTTCGTTAAAATTAGTATAAACTGTATAAAAATTCCCAAAAAACACATCTACCTTAAAGTTGCCTGAGAGATTAAGAAAGTGTTCCCATGACTAACTTGGGGTCTGTTTTGAGAGAAAGTCCCTGAAATTAGAAATTCACAAAAATCGAGAGGATCACATTCTGCTCAATTTTGTTCATGACATTGCTAATGCGCATAAACGTTACTAAGTACACCATGCAACACCGTTGTGTTACAATGTAGGTACATACAATTAATGTAGTTACGTGTACAATACATAATACAACTTAATATCTTTAACGAGCAGGTTAGACTCTTCCATACTTTTTTAAAAACTTTTCAAAAGCAGTACTAGTTTTAATATGTATTCAGTCATAAATCACGTCAACACAACCAACGTGCAATATTTTGACAGACGTTGTCACCCATTTATGCCTAAACCTGTCATGAGCACGTACAATCAAAATATTTGTGCGTCAATCAAGCCGTGAAAATAAGCAACCAATATCAAAATATAAGAAAGCCCAAGATACATTGTATTTGTAAAAAAAGGGAACGTTACATAATGCCAGGTTCATATTTGCTGCGATTCATCGGTCGGCCTCGGCCGATTGAATATTTTGTTTCAAACAAATACAATTTTGAACAAAACACTCAATCGGCCAGACACCTATGTGACCCAGGCATAACGTGGGCTAATTGTCACGAAATGGTTGTTCTAGCTAACTGTGATATAAATGCTAATTGCATATATTTTGTAATCTCTCAATTTATAACATGTTAGGCTATGTCAGATATGTGTGAGCGTAAAATATTAAATCGACTCCTGTATGATATATAGGTCACGTCTCACAAGGCTTATACCTTATCTCAAATCCAGCCTTTAAATTGAAACAGCTTTTACAAATATTTGAGGGAAAATTCGGTATGTAGCTTTTACAACATGTGCTCGAACCTTACTGCTGTACAAATTGAAGTGCGGTGTTTCTGCTTGCAATGGGTGTATGCCTACATGCATTAAAAACTGTTGTACATTGTAGGGAGAAGTGTTAGTTTAAACAAGTCAGTCAATGGAAGTACTAGTGCTGTAACTCGACTAAAAACAAGCCATCATAATTACAAATAAAATTCATCTATGGTCATTACCCCATAACAAATCGTGGGAATACTAAAATAAATTGAAATGTATCAGGTCTTATCACTATACAAGAAATGTATTTTATTGCGTTTGAGTCACGTAGTACGAATTAGCAAGAAAATGATTTCTATTTGGTCGTTTAACGTTATGAAAATAGAACGGTAATCGTAAATGCAGTATTACTGAGTGAACGGTGTATGTATTAGTGAATAAGATCACTTCGGCTCTAAGCGGCGAGATAAACTAAGTCTATGTCTTTAAAATGTTTATGAAAAATTTTCGGACAAACCTTTTTCCTTATAACCTCAATTTTTGAGGATTTCAAAGATTTTTAGCATCATGTTCTCAACAGAATTATAATGGGCATTAATCAGTTTGTGATGCTAAAGATAGAAAAGGTTTTACAGGTGGTCGGAAAGTTTTTGATTTTGAAATGAGATTTGTTATTTGTACATTATCGAGAAAGCTTATCAATTGTCCATTATAAACATTTTTGTATATTGTCCAGCGGCGACGCAGCCGCAGAGCCACATTTTGGCAACCAGCATGTATATACGTAGTTCAACAAGTTAAACCTAGTCTGGGCCTTATTTCTTATCTGACATATCTTGTGGCCCGCCCTAGGTTTAACGTCCGTGCGTATTCGGCATTTGATGCAAAAAATTTAATGGTGGCCTATGGTAGCGCATGGAATTCCATGCGCGTTTAATTAATAACTGATAGTGAGAATTTGCAACAAATGAAAGCATAGCACGGAAGTTAAACCCAACCACGGCAACAAGAACATTCAGATTAATAAATGAAAGCCGTGGTATTGGGTTTAACTTGTTGAACTAGTATATACGATAACATTATTGTATGTAAAGAATACACTCGGTTTTTCTGCAGCAGCCGCAGAGCCACATCCTAGTTAATGTTATGTTTCTTAAGTGAAGATTAGAATAGAAATCTCAATACTTAACTTGAAAGGCGACTACGTCAACCGCAGATCAATTTACTCCCCAGTCACATTTGTCGCACAGCGGCCGTAAGTAGACCGCAGATCAATTATATCAGTGAAGGGAAGCCGTAGATTTTATAACTCGGGGTTACAATATTTGTTAATTTCTGCGGTCCCCGTAGAAATCAACAGGCCGTACGTAGCCAGACCGCATAAAGGTAATTTCATTGCAATCCGTTCAAATCGTTAGCTACAAAATTGATTGACTAAACGTATGATACATAAATGAGAGCTAAGAAAAAAGCGCAAGAAAAAACAGTGAAATGTACTTGAAGTGGCGATTGTGTTTCCTGCTTACCAGTTACCCACCTCTAATAGTGCGATATAAGGTGACTTGATTATGCAGATGAGAAGACCCCATTGGTTTCCCGGTCAAACAATCAAAACAGACGGGGACAAGCTTTGTTTGAACTGTTACTATATCTAGTATTTCCTAACGTTTCGTGACCAGAAATCCACTTAACTATAGGGAATATATTCCGTTATAAAGATAGATTGTTTTCACTTACCAATCATTCATTAACATGTGCTGTCATATTCAGCTCTGGCCTTCATGTCAAAAGGGGGAAGGGTAACCCCCACACTGAATAAATTCAAAGTTCGCGCACCCTTCTTTTTCATTGATGATAGAACAGTTTACGATAAAAGGCCGAACGCAGAAAACATTGAAATTACGAACGCGGTACGTTTGGGCTATTTCTCTCGGCCTTGGAATTACTCAAGAAAAATATACCATCCATAGACGACATGCAACGACATCTAATTTTCGTCGAGTAAATCATTTCCAAAAATAATCAATTTTAAGCGAAAATTGCACATAATGGTTTTGCGCGACGACCTCTATCTAACACAAGTAAAATTCTACTAAAGAGATCGCTCAAAAATATTGAAAAAATGAAACCATTTTTTCTCATCAATTTTAAGACATACTTCTCATGGATCGAATCACGATTTCTTTACAGAAAATAAGACTTTGCTTTATTATGTGGTTACGATATATGTTATTTTGCTGCTTAAAAAACGTAAAGTCATTCTATTTACGCACTGAAAAACGGTACAAAATATAAGATGGAATTTCATCGCTTCGCCAAAAAAGTTCTACAAAATGCGTTTTTCATAATTCAACAATAATATTTTAGAATATAAAAATTCATCACACCTCCGATATTGTCTGAAAATTCCATAATGATCGTGTAGAAAATAAAAAACTTATACCCATCTAAAAAGCTCTCTCTATCGAGCCTCTTCCTTTAAAGATCTTAATCAAAAATGAACGTTGTCATCTCCAATGTACGTTGTCCCTGTAATTGAAATGTAAACAATGCAATAATTTAATTTCAACACGCATTAGGGTTTTATGAGCTGTGACAAGTGATGTTCAACAAACATGTTCATGTATCCCCGATACAGGTAAAGGTGATTTTTTACCTCTTGTTGAATGCTATTCTATTTTGTGAAATGGTGATTAATATTTGACCATGGAGTGTTATCTTCCACCCTCTTTGACCATTCGGCGTCGATACGTTACGGTATGTTTTATGAATTTTAATAATCTTGAGGAGTTTATGGAGAGATCTATACTGGTTAATCGAAGATGACTTTCGAAATCCCGTTTATGCTATTCTGGAAAGTGCAGAGGTTCAATATAGTTCAGTCAAGATGAATTAGTAATACTGGATCGTTCCGTTTCAGTTTTAAATGAATCCGATCCCCTGTTCCTTAGTGTTATGAAAAAAACGTCGTCTACATAAGAGTTAACTGTGAATTCAGATATGTACATGTAAGTTCAATGGGACAACGTACATCGAGATGACAACGTACACTTATGATTTGTTGAGTTTTTTTATTTCAGCAAAAAGGTGAATATTTGTTAAATCTTCAACCGACCTTAATTATGTAACGCTGGGAAACATATTCTCATAAAAATAATCGACACTCTTAGGCGACAGGGGAAAAAATGGCCAAAGGAAATGTAAAAAACCAACATTTTCCAACCGATCATTGTTGGTGGGAAGTTTTACTTTGAAAAACTCGACCTCTACCCGAAAATTTTTTCACGGAATTAGAAAGGTAAATGTCATATTAGTTAGAATAGTGACACCGTACATCTCAAGTGTACTACGGTACACTTTGTCACTGTACGTTGTCGATGGTTAGGCGTGACTTTGCTAAACTTGAGGTCAAGCTGGAGCAAGAATATGAATATACAGAAGTGAATTATAAATTAACGATAGTTTCACATTAAATGTGAGTGTAATATAAGTGTAAATAAAGATATATCGGCAAGAGCCTCAGCCTTGAGTCAGAGTATAAACAAGTTGAAATGAATTAATATTTGAATAACAATAAATTAAATTTTTCGTCAATAAGTGTTCGTATATTATATATTATACAGTTAAAAGATCTCTTAAAAATAAATGACAGATACATGCACATTCAACACAGCATTTCTATGTACACGGTATATCATAAAGGTGCCAACGCACCAGTCTTTGAATAACATGCTAATACCATACAGTTCCTTCCGTATTCATGCCGATCAAACTCATGGACTTTAAAAAGAGGATCTGTGCTTTACTTTGATCTACGGCAACCGTACGGCGACCGTAGCTTCCAAAATCGAGATCAATATGCAGCATGAAATATAGGGATCAGTAGCACGAAGCAGATTTTCTATATCGATTTTGTAAAGCTACGGTCGCCGCACGCCCATCGTATGGCAAATGTGACTGAGACTTAAGTTGCACTCTTGTCAAAGTACTACACATCGACATCAGTGAGCTCAACAGACGACATAGATGCAACACTTCTGGGACTATGCAACACAGACACAGTTGACCCTCGAGGAGAATTAGATGCAGAATATGAGCCAGCGTCGTTTGGTTCAGCAACGGATATACGTCTTGATGAACGCGAGGGTAATATGGACAGAAAACCGTTTTTGTTACTATACCAGTTCTGTATGGTCCTATGTCCTTTCGATGTCGTACTGCTTGAAATTGCTGATGGAGACGTTATAGGTTTATTGTCAAATCCAGTAGTTTGACCAGATATTAGATTAATTGTTGAGGATTTACGATTATTGTATACTGGTTTATCTTCGGAATCAATGTCATCATTTTCATATTCTTCGTCTGTCTCATCTTCTTCATGATTAATCTTTCGCTTTCGATGTCGTCTACATCCATACAAAAATCCATCGCAACAACAGTTCTGAAAAGAAGAATACACCAGCCAATGTATTGTTGATATGTTTGGCACGCAAATAATGGCGATATAGGAGTGATATATAATCCATCTCGACAAAGAACAGATCTGAACTGTTACAATCATTTGATTCCAAAGGAGTGGTATCAATATGGTGAACTTTTTGAACACGCATTTCTCTTAAACCAGACATACAATATTGAGAGGTCTGAGAATATGTTGTATATGCCATTTTGTTCCAACAAGGTTCGGAAAGACATTTTATTTCATTCTCAAGAATTGGTAGAAAGGAGCAAAAAACAATTGCACTAAAAAACAAAAAATGTTAACAAAAACAGTTATATAAAATATATAAAAATAATTTTTCGCATTGAATTGTTGTCAATCAGTTTGCATTACATAAAGGATCGTGTTTTTTACAGAATGTTTTTAATAATTAAATTGGTTGAAGAGAAAAACATTGTTGAATTCAGTTCACCATATTGATACCTATCCTTTATAGTTATACAGTAACTTCTAGTTTTACAGGATGTCTATGGCGTTAACACATGTTATTCTTTAGCTTTTTCGTATAACTTGACCATGTGCTTTTCCAATTAAATAGCTTAATTTATTCTAGCCCCTCTTTAGATAAAACAAAAAAATCTAAAAGGTGATGAAATGGCTTGTGATCCCAATTACCGTTTTTAACATCGCCAACACTGTGACAATGATTCCAATTAAAGACAGAGAAATCAGAGCGCTGGCCAACAAAGACATTTGTAAGAAACTATTCCCTTCGTCTGAACCTGGAGATGGAAATAGCGTACATGTTGTGCAAATTAATATATCGTTCAAAGACAAGAGCAAAAGTAAAATAACAAATCACTAGACAGAATCGAAATATCGTTCTGATTTATTGAGACTCAAAGTTAACACTGTTAATGTTGATTGTGTTAGGACCACGTTTGTCATGTTGGCTTGTTCCATTAATTTCTCACATACATCGCATCCTTTTTATAAAAAAAATTCTAAGTGATTTGCCATGTGTTGCTTTGAATAAAAAGACTATGGTAAAAGTTTGAAGGTTTATTTTCTAATGCACATATTGTATGTATTTTAACAAACCTGTTTGCTCTGCACCTTCTAAAGCATCTGGATTTATCTGATTAGGTAAAACAAAATCAGTGGTCGTATCTGTAAACGATTCTGTTGAAGAGCCTTCATGATGATACGTTTTTGTTGTGTTAACAGTCGAGTCCGTCGTTTGTATGGTATTTAATTTTTTCGATACGGTCGATTGAACCACTGTTTGGTTGGAGTTGGTGGAATTCGCAGTGTCAGTGCCAGCTTTTGAATTTGATAAGTCTTCTGCATTGGTAAGTGTATCCATGACGCCCATTGTAGTATCTGGAAATATTGAAAAATGGCACTTAGTTAATTCTAATTTTGTTTTAATATCCAATAATGATAATTGATTTCATGACACAATAAGAAATGTTAAGTATTAAAAGGTTAAATGTAAGTTTGATTTCTAAATTATATTCATATCGGGGGTTGTGAGTTTGTGGTCGGCTTTTTTATGAAAATGATGCAACATATAATTTTCCCTTTCAAACAGAATTTAGAACCAGTAGCAGGTATTGATGAATCTGATAGATAAATCCACGAAAAGGTTTAACACAACAAAAAGGACGTTAAAATGTATCAACTAACAGATAGTCCATGGTATGAAATCTCTAGGACGTCTAATAAAGGAGCTGGTAGCACACTATAGCGCAACGATATTTGACCTAACATTAGCATACCTACATATGTCCCCTAATAATTTTTATTATAACCGTTTAATATACTTCCGGCTTTAAAGGAATATTCCTCCCCGATGCAAATATGCTTTTATATTGTAGGTAACACATGTATGTACTAGATGATATATGATATTTTGGTGAAATAAATTATTTTAACAATAAAAAACAAATATGAAAATTATTTTGTCTTGTTCCATGTAAAATGAATTCAAGATAGTTTTTAAGGGGCGTGGCTTAATAATTGACGTCATCGACTCTCATCATAGATCGTTATCTTATTGGCTGATCAGATTGTTGATAAAACGTCACAAGTCTCGTCTGCGCATGCGCGAGACGCTACCCGGCATATTGAAAAAAATATTGGAAAACACGCAAAAGATGAATAACTTTGAAGATTTTGACGACATTCTGGGGGATATTGACGATACCTTTGGTATACAGGGTTACCAGTTCGAGCCTGAATACACAGAAGAAGAACTGAGAGAGATGGAAGTAGAAGAGGCCCGTTTGAGAGACGCAGAGGCTGAAAATGAAATTCCCGAAGTCCTGGAATTCTGCATCTGCAAGAAAACAGATCTTGAAATGGGATGTGATCGGGCGAATCTTCTAGATTCCAAAGAGGCTGTCTGTTGCCGCGGGGAACAGTGGATAGATCTCCTATCTTCAAAGTGCGGCCAAGAGGAAGAATGTATTACAAACCATGACGATTTTGCTGTCGTCATTCTGCATCCAGCCGTACTTCTGTTGGCCTTTTGCAGATTCTTGGATTTCAAGAAAAGGAAGGGCGCCAGACCCAATTCATTGACAAATAGGTAAGTTCAGTTGGTATTTCTTGAACTATTTCCTGATATTTGTTTTGGAAGGACTAATTTCACTGAAAACACTTGACTCCACTTCTGCAGTCTGCCACTTGGTCTCTGTAACTTGTAATCTTAGACCCCGGGGCTTAGGCCTAGCATAGCCTAGGCCTAGGCTACAACTTACAAGTCTGTTTCCAATTAGTCAGTCTGTTGAGCTTTAGGCTCAAATATTCAGAGGTGAAAATCAATTTTTTACAATAATGGCGAGGCCTACCTGCTATAAAGCCTAATCTTCATTTTTATCCTAGTTTACAGAAAATGTCTGTTCACATAGGCCTAGCCTAGCTCTTATATTATAATAGATCTAATTATGTATAAAGCGCAATGAAACTAAGATCATTTTGTATATGTTTTTCAGCCAGTCCAGAGTCATGGCGTATCGTCAATTTGTCACCTGGGCCTATATATTGTGGCAACAGACTGGGAAAGAAAAACCGAGTGGTTATCCCTGCCTGTGTGACGGAGCGGATCAGACAGAAGTTCCCAAAGGCTGAGGGAGAATCCTATAAAGGTTATGCAGATTATTTGGAGGAAGAAGATGATGTTGAAGTGTGACCTGGATTGAGGTAATTACCTGTAAAGAACTGTACTTACATTAAAAAAAATAATCATGTCCAACAGCAAGGTATAGCATTATATATGGAACATAAATCTGCAATCACTAAATCTAAGATGTGACAATCAAATCAATTCAACTTGGAGATCATTTTGCCTTGGACATTTGTTTTACATATTGTTATTGTTTTGAATATATATATAAAGGAGCACGTGGGTTATCGCAAACAATTTCAGAAGGTTATATCTTGGATTATGACTATTTTCTGACAATGAAGACAAGTTTATCTTTTAGATCAATTCATTATCTCAAAAAAAATTATGCACAGTAATAATAAATTCAAACAAACTCGGTGATATTTAACTAGCAATTAACCCATCAACACACTTTTTGACCCCATTTTGAAGATGTTGACCCCATTTTCACCAAAAATGCAATCATTTTTTACAATGTTTAATGCATTACTATTCTTTATTTTGATGTATCAAATAGTTCTTGAAAGAAAAACTTAATTGCATAAAGATAAGTGTTCCCCATGTTATTTCTCCATTGAAAAATCTCATGCTATCCATTGGTTTCAGTTCATTTTGGTCATCCAAATTGAATATCTTTAAAGTCCCTGGAGCAATCACATTTTCCTTTTAGGAAATCGAACATGTCTCAAAGCACATTCTAATTATGCATTCAACAATATAATAATAGGTTGCATTTTTGGTGAAAATTAGGTCAACATTTTTGAAAAAGTATGTTGATTGGTCCATTGCCCCTTCAATATCACTAAGGTCTGATTAACTAAATTATCATTATATATACTTTTCTTGAAGATAATGAATGGATCTAAAAGATACACCCATGTTCATGATCAGAAAATATTTATAATTCAAGTTAGAATCGTTTGAAATTGTTTGCGATAACCTACGTGCTCCTTTGGGTTTCTTCTGTATTTTCAGTTGGAGAATTTGAACTGATGAACACCATTGGAACATCATTGGAGAGGAGTCTAGCAACTGTAAATAGTGAATACAATATATCACATATAGTTTATGCGATATTGTAAATACATGTAATGTGTATCATCATATGGAAGTTCAGTGTATATATGCCATATATGGATATGAATGACTCACAACTAAATCATCATCACATATTGCAGTATTGTATGCAGTATTATGATGAATAACTAGACATATCATCATATGGAAGTTCAACATATTATATATGGAGATTGATGACTCACAACTACATGGTGACTTTATATAGTGTGTATATGCAGTATTGGAAATAATATATATCATCAAATGGATGTCAGTGTATATATGGAGACTGGTGACTGGTGACATATTGTATATAGTGTATATACTCAAGTACATATGGACATCATTACACAGAGCTTCAAATACAATTCGTAATACATGTATAGACAATATAAACACTATTTGTGTATTAATTATGGATCAGATTATAAAGTAATTTATTCGATACATATTTGGACTTAGAAATACATTCAAACACAATATGTGATGCTTGATAGAATGGATAATTTTGCTTTATTATATAAATGTTTTCATAAATAGAATTGTTTCATCTGTGCTAAAATAACTTGCAGTCAGTTTTTCAGTCTAAAGTTATATTTTACATGTTCTTGAAAATACTTCTTTCACTTCTCAAATTGCCAATTGTTTCCAAGAATAGACTTCTGTTACCTTTTGTTCAAAAATGGATATTTTCCACAATGAGATGTGGATCTCAATCTCAGTGGCCAGAATCATGTAAATAGCTGTATAAAATGTATGTGATACTTAGATACTGTTACTGTCAATAAACAATTGTAAACAACAGTCATTTTTATGTTTCACTTTTTATTGGTCGGCGAGTTCCTGACATCAGCTCAAATCACAATTATTAGGCTTACATTTATGCAAAATCCACTTTATATTTACCCTTATTTGAATAGAATCCCTGTCCTTTGAAAAAATTAATTTTTATACCAACTCCAATAGGGGTTGTCCCTAATTTGACATATATCTTGACTGTAAATTGAACTTTGTTTTTTGAATACTATTCTCATCAGCAGGTTCTACCAGAGAAAAAGAAAAATCAAAGTAGAAAATGATTTTGAAGAATTTTCATATTTTTCACTGACTGCTATGTATATAGCCTACATACTTTTTCTAATCATCAAATGATGTTGAATGTAAACTGTTAAAAGTCATGATATAATTCAGCAAAAATTCAAAACAGTGTGTGAGTGATATTATTCATAATATGGAAATTACAATAAAAACTGAAAAATCTCAAAATACTAAACTTGGGTTTCTATGTTTTTACACATAGGGTAGTCCCTATTTTGACATATTTATATATTCAGCAAAACTTTTTAAAATGGTGCGTGATGTTATACAGTATATCATAATGAAATGACAATGAAACCTAAAAATATAGCAAAATACTAAACTTGGGTTTCGGTGCTATTTCCATATTTTTACACTAATTCAAATGGAGGTAATCCCTATTTTGGCATTTCTCAAAGTCCAATCTTCTAAATTGAACTCAGTTTTTTTTAATACTAGTACTATTATTATCAGCAGGTTCTACCCAAAAAAATCAAAGCAGAAAGTGATTTTGAAGAATTTTCATATTTTCACTGACTGCATATATACCCTATACCTGTTTTTTTCAAATTGTCAAATGATTTTGAACGTAAAATGTTGAGGTCTTTATATAATTCAGCAAAACTTCAGAACAGTCTAGTCCTATATATTATATGGAAATTATAATAAAAATTGAAAAATGTAGCAAAATGCTAGACTTGGGTGTCAGTGCTATTTTCATGTTTTCACACTAAATTCAGTGGAGGTAATCCCTATTTTGACATTTCTCAAAGTTACATCTCGTGAATTGAATTTTGTTTTTGGAATTCTATTCCTATTTGAAGGTTCTACCAGAAAAAGTAGAAATTAATTTTTTAAAAACTGTAGCTTATCATTTCAGGATGGTGCAAGCCATGGATCACCAGGGAAGCTATTCATACTACAAGTGACACTGTATTGTATACAGGAGCAAAAAGTTGGGTTGAGTTTTCAAGTAACCCCCACAACTACTTATGTATTGAAATCTTGTGGTTGAAAACAGTAATTGACACAAAGCTAAAAACCACCAATCCAGCTTATTTTCAACTGAAGATTTCAATACATAAGTAGTTTTGGGGGTAAGGAGCATGTGTTCTCTAGAATATTGCTTTCTTTGGCTATATATCTCATTACACACCACCATAATAAATATTAATAAAAAACAATTATTCTTATATAAGTTGTGTTCTTTATTCCATTTTTACCACATTTTATTTCCAAAAGCATAACTAAATCAGTCAGAATAGTAACAAGTGGGGTGACCATATTGGCACAGATTGATGTCACTACAACTACAAGTTCGAAAAAAATGAAAAACAAATTCCCTATACATGTAGTTTCGATAACATAATCAATATAAATTGATTTTATAGTACTTGTCTATTGACTATAGCATTGTTTTATACTCATATTAGCAAGGAACTTGAACTTCTACTCTACAGTACACAATGAAAATATAGATTCATCAAAACAAAATATCTTCTATCAAAGAAATACCTATAGTAAAAAATCCCCATAGTTACAATGAAGGGTGACCACATTACCCCTAATTTCCCTAATTTGAGTACAATTTCTGTCATTGCACTTTGATAAATATAATTCTTCAAATATAAATGATTCTAAAATACTGGTCTTCTATCAAAGTAATACCTATAGTAAATATAAAGGGTGACCATATTGCCCCTGGTTTCACTAATGTGTTGTACAATTTCCAGCATTATACATTGATACATACAGTGTTTTCTTTCAAAAATGCCCAGTTACAATGAAGGGTGGCCACATTACCCCTAATTTCCCTAATTTGAGTACAATTTCTGTCATTGCACTTTGATAAATATAATTCTTCAAATATAAATGATTCTAAAATACTGGTCTTCTATCAAAGAAATACCTATAGTAAATATAAAGGGTGACCATATTGCCCCTGGTTTCACTAATTTAGCAGTTGTACAATCTCCAGCATTACACATTGATACATACAATGTCTGGTTCTTTTGGTAGTTGTAACTTCCATTTCTCATTGATAAATATAATATGTTCTTCAAAAAATACAATGAAGTTACAATGAAGGGTGGCCATATTGCCCCTAGTTCCTTTAAGCATTTAATCTGGTACAATTTCTACAATTACACATTGATAAATATAACTATTTATAATTACTGTTGATACTAAAATACACAGACCTTTTATCAAGAAATTCCCACAGTAAATAAAAGGGGTGGTCATATTGCCCCTGGTTTCCCTAGTCTGGGAGACAATGAAACTAGTCGAAATTGTTCTTGTTGAAAAAGCATCCTACTTTAGCTGGCGTGTATATTTATAATGTCGTTGAAGGAGTTCCTCTCTATCAGGCTTTTGTAGGCTGGCAATGTTCTTGTGCTGTGGTACATTGTAGGAGAGCTGTCTAACTACACCCTCAGCCTTGTTGTTTAGAATCAAGGCCATGAGAAGGTTCATATAGTCATATGACTTGGCTTCCAAGATTGGTTTCATGACCCATAGCTTGCTTGCTTTTCTCCACACACTGTTGAATCTTAGTGCTCCAAGGGGCTGAGATGTTTTAGTTTCCTGAGTTACAACAGCCTGCTTCCTTCCTGTGTTGAAGTTGTGATCTAATACTGCTAGCTGGCTCCTTGCTGTCATCTGTTTTGAGTCGAACTCCAGACGTTTTGGAAGGTATTTATTCAGAAGTGAGTGAAATACTTCCAACTGCCCTGTGTGGAAAAACTTGGCCATGTGATGTAGATCCTTGATCAGGTTTCTGTCGAGGATGACAGATTCCACAGCTTTGTATGGTGCAGAATCTAATTCCAACCATTTCTTCCTTCTCTGAGCTTGAGCATCCAATGGCTGGTGGTCACACTGTTTGTAGTGTTGGTTACTTCATCCCCATCACATGTTCTGCATGCATACCAGAAATGGTTACAGATGGCCCTAATCCATCCAGCGATATCACGATTAGAAACCTTCTTTGCCCTTTCTACAAGTTTTTTCTTAATCCAGTTTGCTACGTGGTAGATGTCGAAATTATGTTGAATTTCTTTGTAGTCTTCCCTCATCAGTTTTTTGATAGATACATGTCGGTCTGTGGTTACATCTGTGACATCTAACTGGTGATTATCGATTACTCTATCTAGCACTTTTTTAAAGCCGACAACTTCCATATTTTGCGAGCTTGTCGCATCTCTTACATGTACAACTTCAAAGTCAACAATTTTGTCTGTTGTATTCTCTATGAAGGTATAATTCGAATACTTCGCGCAGAATCCGGGAGAATCACATCTTCCATCTCCAAGAAGACATAGTCCCCGTTTTGTTGCTAGGGACTCAATTATACACTGTTGCTGTTGGATATAAAACTGGTCTATTGCAGGGACAAGGATATTGCCTTGAATCTCATAGTATGCTGTTTTCTGCATCATCTGGAGGTTCATGATTTGACTGAAGTTGGCGATATGTTGATAGGTCTCACCAGAGAAGAGCGTTGAAGCTGCCACACAAAGATTTCCAGCTGGCTGCTGGCCTATAAGTGGCTGCGAATTCCATTCAAACACAACATGCTCATCAATGCACTTCAGTTTTAAACGGCACATAGTTCCGACATAACTTCTCTCAATCTTGGTCACGGAACTAATACACTTTGGGTATGTGCATCTGAGACGATAACAAAGTTGATCAAGAGATGACTCAAATACAATGTATTTCCTTTCAGCACTGTACACTTCTCCTTGGGTTAGTGTATCATCTTCACTTTCAGAGTCACTGTCAACTGAAAGTTCTGATGGTGGATTCCATGTTTCATCATTTATGTCACTCAAAGTGGAACAATCAGCATGGCTCATACTTGAAACTTCAGGTGTGGCACTTAGTTGTGATATGTCCATTTTCTTTGTCTTTACAGGCGTACTGTGAGGAGTGACATGAGGAGTAGAATGAGAAGGTGTCTGATGGGAGGAAATTCCAATATTTACAAATTGTTCATCTAGTTCATTATCAGATAGGTCAACACTCTGCGATGCCTGCCATTAACAGAGGTCAAACAATTTCCAAAAAATAAACTTCCAAACTTTCACAATTAGGAGTACACAATGCAATAGCAAATAATAAAATATGATTTAAAGGTATATGATTTAGGTTTCTAAGCTAAAAGTTTGAGGTTATTTTTCTTATCAATACCAAAAGATTATGTCATCAGTGTATCGACATTTTGTATTGTTTCTCGGGTATTAATAAGATAAATGCTACAAATGAATCACTTTTATATTAGAATGACAAATGCTTAAATTATGCTAGTTTTTCGCAAAATGGGTCTCAATACGTTTTAAGATATGAACTTTTATTCAGCGGTGAACATTATCAATAAAGGTGGGCATATTGCTCTTCCTCGACTAATTGCGACTACAGCTTAAATTCTATTTCTCGTAGTTAGATATAGCTCAGTTGCTTATGAAACAACCATCAAGACTTGGTCGAATTCATGAATAATTGAGAAAAATCGTTATCATTATCTTCCTAAAATTTGATTATATCCTTCGGTAAGGTCAAAGAAGAAACAACCATCAGAAAACTTGATGATAGCCACAACTAACGTCGAGGAAGAATTGTAAGGCGTTCGATTGCATATGACTCTAATTGATTATTAGACATGCCCTTGGAATATATGAACATGCAGATACCTCTGTAACATCGAATTAGATATGAATCTTACTTATTTGTTATTGTATTATGTTTTATAGAACATCAACAATAATTTGTTGTTAGACCCTTTACGATTATATGGAAAAATTCTGGTAATAAAATGTTTTAACTGGTAAGAAAACTAATACGTTCCCAATCAAAAAAAAACCTAAATATTCCATACAATTTTGTTGAATCGGCTTAGCTCATATTTGAAAAATCAAACAAAATCTGAAAAACACACTTGTGTAATTACACTAATTAAACACCGACATATACAGTAAAATCATAGTAATTTTGACATTATGATAATCAATTTTTTTGTTCGTATGCTTAGAATAACGGTCTGTGTCTTATAAAATGTATAAAAGTTCGAATCAAAATATTTACGTTTTTTGACCCCTTGTTATGAAATACATTTTTCGACCCGAAAGTCGGAAGTTTTTTCAGCAAATGGTATTTTAAATGAATCAAAACATATCCACCTTCATAAATATTGCTTCAAATGTTGCTGCGCTATAGTGTGCTACGGATCCTTCACATTCGGAAGTCATACCATGGACTAAGACAGCAGTCTTGATCTTCATATTATCGTATCCGTCATTACCACCAAGGGCTTTAACTTGTATGTTTCTCCTACTAATTTTAGTATTATCTTTGTTTCTTACCTCCTGACGTGGCATTTGGTTTCTGTTTGGTCGAGGAAGAGTGAGACAAAGATTGCGCTGATGAAGGCTCAGTGTTACTAGATGCAGTGGCGTTATGTCGAAAGGCGCTATATCTAGTTGAAGAAGATACAATGTTGATAGATGCAGTGCCAGTAGATTGACTAGCGCAAGATTCAGTTAAAGAAGGTCGGATGTAATTAGATGAAATGGGAGTAGATTGAATGGTGCTGGATAAAGTTAAAGAAGACTCGTTGTTTATATGAGCAGTAACGGTAAGTCGATAAGCGCTAAATTCAGTTGAAGGAGACAAAATGTTACTAGATACAACGGGAACAGATTGAATAGCGCTAGATTTTGGAAAAGAATGCCCAATGTGGGGCCCAATGTCACTAGATGCAGTGGGAGCTGATAGAATAGCGCTATATTCAGAAGAAGAGGCCTCAGTGTTAGTAGATGCAACGGGAGTTGATAGAATGGCTCTAGACACAGTGGAAGAATGCACAATATTACTCGATGCTGCAGACATTGGTCGAATAAAGCTAGATAGAGTAGAAGAATGCTCAAAGTTACTAAATGCAGCGGCGGTAGATTGACTGGTACTCGATTCTGTAGAAGACGGTACAATACTACGAGATGCAGCGGGAGGAGATAGAATATCGCTAAATTCAGAAGAATTTAGATTGAGTAAAAGAATGTTCAATGTAAACGGATGAAGCAGCAGTAGTTTGACTAGCGCTAGATTGAATTGGAGTAGGTAGAATGTTAGCAGTTGCAGTAGATTGAATGGTGCTAGATACAGTAGAATAAAGCTCAATGTTGAAAACCTCCCCGTTGCTAGATGCAGCATTAGTAGATCGAAAGTTGCTAGATATACCAGAAGAGGGATCAATGTCAAGTGAGGCAGCGGCAGTTACTTGACTAACGCTAGATCCAGTTGGATTGGTTCGAATGTTGCTAGATGAAACGGGAGTAGATCGAATGTCGCTAGTTTGAACAGAAGAAGATTCGATGTTACTAGATGCAGAGGGAGTAGATTGAATGGCGCTGGTTGCAGTTGCAGAAAGTAGAATGTTACTAGATACAGAGGCAGAAGACCGTATAGCGCTAGTTTGAACAAATGAAGATCCAATGTAACTTGATGCAGAGGGAGTAGATTGAATGGCGATGGTTGCAGTTGCAGAAAGTAGAATGTTACTAGATACAGAGGTAGAAGACCGAATAGCACTAGTTTGAACAGAAGAAGATCCAATGTTACTAGATGCAGAGGTAGTAGATTGAATGGAGCTAGTTGCAGTTACAGAATGTAGAATGCTACTAAATACAGAGGCAGAAGACCGAGTGGCGCTAGACTCAGTAGAAAAAGGCCTAATCTTACAAAAAGCAGCTGGAGTACATTCAACAGTACTAAACTCAGTAGAGGAAGACTCGACATTACTAGATGTAGTGGAAGTAGATTGAATGGCGCTGGACTCAATAGAAGAAGGCCACATGCTCCTAGATGCAACGAGGGCAGAGTGCACAGCACTTGATTTAGTGAAAGGCCCAATGCTACTAGGAGTAGATAGAATTTCGCTAAACTGAGTAGATGACGACTTTTTGTTAGTTGCTGCATTGGAAGTAGATTTAGTAGCACTAAATTTCATTGGAGTTGATAGAATAAGTCTAGAATCCATTTGAGATCGTCCAGTGTCGCTAGACACAATGGTTTGAATAGATTGGATAGTATTATATTCAGTAGGAGAGGGCTCAATGCTACTAGATGCAGTGAAAGTAGATTCAATGGGGTTAGATCCGGTTGTAGTTGTTTGAATAGGACTAGAATTCGATCTAGGATTAAATCTAATAGTGCTTGAAATTGTAGGTGAAGTCTCAGTGTTGCTGAACGCAGGGGGCGTTGATTGTATCGCTCCAGATACAATACCATAATTTTCACCGATGATAACTCTTGGAGTAGTAGTTTTGTCGCTTGTTGGCAATTCCGTGAATACATATTTTCCAGCAGTCGATGATGTCATCTCTAATGTTAGGTCAACTGACGCCACCGGTGCTAACTCAGGCACAACTGTTGATTGAACTACATCGATAAACAATTTTACTAAGATTTCTTAAACAGTAGAAATTTTGTCTTATAAACTTCTTCTCTCCATTGTCACTATACAGGGTGTCCGGAAAGTAAAGAAACAAACGCTCTAATTTTAATAGATTTACATATTGTGAGATGAAAATACTACAGCTTGTAGAATGACATTAAAACAATTTATCCTGCAACTGTCATGTCAAATTGTTTCAAAATAAAAAAAGTTATGGTTGTTATGGTAACGCGGGTATGTGGAGCAGCGTCACAATTGTGTTTTATAATTCATTTCTCCTGCTCATATCATATTGACACTCCATCATCTCTTCATATTATGCATCAAGTTATGTACCACAACAGCAAAGGAACTATTACTGTTACATTATTTGGTCATCTGACATTACTACTGTTATCCAGTATTATGTATTTTCCACTATTATCTAAAGATTTGTGGTGCATTTGATGGAGATTCCTGACAAAACCACTGCTGTCCAGTGTCCATCTCTAAGATTGCTGAAAACATTGGCTTCCAGCCAAAACTCATTTTTATGTTGAACTTCTAAAAAATATTGCTTTAAGGGATTTATTAATGAATGTCCAATATTGGGACATTATCAGGGAAATATATGGCCCATTGTAAACAAAACAAACCTCTTAACATTAGAGTATTTGTATCTTTACTTTCCAGACACCCTGTTTCTACTTATCTAAATAAAATATCTATATCCAAATATTTTATGCAAATATTGTGCTTGTGATCTGAGCGACAACTTATTAAAACAAGACTGCATATTTTTTATTGAGCCTTTAAAACTTCCGTTAACGATTAAATGGATTTTCCATGGTATACATTTTTTTTAGATATAGTATTATTTATATACAGATTAAAGGTAGTCTAATGCCAATACTGTAAAATACCTATATCACTTTCAAAACTAAATATACAATTTTACCTTTTAATGAAGGGTCTTCGTAGCTTTCTTTATTCCCTTCTGAACTTGTCGTCTCACTTGTTACTTCAGAGGCCTTGTCTGAATCCAAATACTCACTAGTTATACCTTCAGTACTTATATTTACTTCAGAGACTGATGATCCAGATGATGACTCGCTATTTGATATCGCGCTTATTTCCTTGCTTACATTGATACTTTTAGAACTTGACTTGGAATCAGTCTCTTTGCTTTTGCCCGATGATTTCTTGTTCGACTTTGCGCTTGTCTCCTTGCTTGATGCATTACTCTTGGAGCTTGGCTCAGATTTATCGTCTTTGCTTGTGCCTGTTGACGCTTTACTGGACGTTGTGCTTGATACTTTGCTTGTCGTTGTACTTTTGGAGGTGGATTTAGAATCATTCTCTTTGCTTTTGCCCGATGACTCCTTACTAGACGCATTCGTCGATTCTTTCCTTGCCTTTGTGCTTTTAAAGCTTGACTTAAAATCAATATCTTTGCCTGTGCCTGAAGACTCCTTACTAGACTTATCTGTTGATTCTTTACTTGCGTCTATACTTTTAGAGCTTGATTTAGGATCCGTCTCTTTGCTTTTGACTGATGATTCCTTGCTAGACTTATCCGTTGATTCTTTGCTTGCCTTTGTACTTATAGAAGTTGATTTAGAATCAGTCTCTTTGCTTGTGCCTGATGACTCCTTGGTAGACTTATCCGTTGATTCTTTGCTTGCCTTTGTACTTTTAGAGCTCGACTTAGGATCAGTCTCTTTGCTTTCGCCTGATGACTCCTTGCTAGACTTATCCGTTGATTCTTTGCTTGCCTTTGTACTTCCAGAGCTTGATTTAGAATGCATCTCTTTGCTTTCGCCTGATGACTCCTTGCTAAACGTATCCGTTGATTCTTTGCTCGTCTTTGTAGTTTTAGAGCTCGACTTAGGATCAGTCTCTTTGCTTTCGCCTGATGACTCCTTGGTAGACTTATCCTTTGATTCTTTGCTTGCCTTTGTACTTTTAGAGCTCGACTTAGGACCAGTCTCTTTGCTTTCGCCTGATGACTCCTTGCTAAACGTATCCGTTGATTCTTTCCTTGCCTTTGTACTTCCAGAGCTTGATTTAGAATGTGTCTCTTTGCTTTCGCTTGATGAGTCCTTGGTAGACTTATCCGTTGATTCTTTGCTTGCCTTTGTACTTTTAGAGCTCGACTTAGGATCAGTCTCTTTGCTTTCGCCTGATGACTCCTTGGTAGACTTATCCTTTGATTCTTTGCTTGCCTTTGTACTTTTAGAGCTCAACTTAGGATCTGTCTCTTTGCTTTCGCCTGATGACTCCTTGCTAAACGTATCCGTTGATTCTTGGTTTGCCTTTGTACTTCCAGAGCTTGATTTAGAATGTGTCTCTTTGCTTTCGCTTGATGACTCCTTGGTAAACTTATCCGTTGATTCTTTGCTTGCCTTTGTACTTATAGAGCTCGACTTAGGATCAGTCTCTTTGCTTTCGCCTGATGACTCCTTGGTAGACGTATCCTTTGATTCTTTGCTTGCCTTTGTACTTTTAGAGCTCGACTTAGGGTCAGTCTCTTTGCTTTCGCCTGATGACTCCTTGCTAAACGTATCCGTTGATTCTTTCCTTGCCTTTGTACTTCCAGAGCTTGATTTAGAATCAGTCTCTTTGCTTGTGCCTGATGACTCCTTGGTAGACTTATCCGTTGATTCTTTGCTTGCCTTTGTACTTTTAGAGCTCGACTTAGGATCAGTCTCTTTGCTTTCGCCTGATGACTCCTTGGTAGACTTATCCTTTGATTCTTTGCTTGCCTTTGTACTTTTAGAGCTCAACTTAGGATCTGTCTCTTTGCTTTCGCCTGATGACTCCTTGCTAAACGTATCCGTTGATTCTTGGTTTGCCTTTGTACTTCCAGAGCTTGATTTAGAATGTGTCTCTTTGCTTTCGCTTGATGACTCCTTGGTAAACTTATCCGTTGATTCTTTGCTTGCCTTTGTACTTTTAGAGCTCGACTTAGGATCAGTCTCTTTGCTTTCGCCTGATGACTCCTTGGTAGACGTATCCTTTGATTCTTTGCTTGCCTTTGTACTTTTAGAGCTCGACTTAGGGTCAGTCTCTTTGCTTTCGCCTGATGACTCCTTGCTAAACGTATCCGTTGATTCTTTCCTTGCCTTTGTACTTCCAGAGCTTGATTTAGAATCAGTCTCTTTGCTTGTGCCTGATGACTCCTTGGTAGACTTATCCTTTGATTCTTTGCTTGCCTTTGTACTTTTAGAGCTCGACTTAGGGTCAGTCTCTTTGCTTTCGCCCGATGACTTCTTGCTAAACGTATCCGTTGATTCTTGGCTTGCCTTTGTACTTCCAGAGCTTGATTTAGAATGTGTCTCTTTGCTTTCGCTTGATGACTCCTTGGTAAACTTATCCGTTGATTCTTTGCTTGCCTTTGTACTTTTAGAGCTCGACTTAGGATCAGTCTCTTTGCTTTCGCCTGATGACTCCTTGGTAGACTTATCCTTTGATTCTTTGCTTGCCTTTGTACTTTTAGAGCTCGACTTAGGGTCAGTCTCTTTGCTTTCGCCCGATGACTCCTTGCTAAACGTATCCGTTGATTCTTTGCTTGCCTTTGTACTTCCAGAGCTTGATTTAGAATGTGTCTCTTTGCTTTCGCCTGATGACTCCTTGGTAGACTTATCCGTTGATTCTTTGCTTGGCTTTGTACTTTTAGAGCTCGACTTAGGATCAGTCTCTTTGCTTTCGCCTGATGACTCCTTGCTAAATGTATCCGTCGATTCCTTGCTTGCCTTTGTACTTCCAGAGCTTGATTTCGAATCAGTCTCTTTGCTTGTGCCCAATGCCTCCTTTCTAGACTCATCCTTCGATTCTTTGCTTGCCTTTGTACTTCCAGAGCTTGATTTCGAATCAGTCTCTTTGCTTGTGCCTGATGACTCCTTGGTAGACTTGTCCATTGATTCTTTGCTTGCCTTTGTACTTTCAGAGCTTGATTTCGAATCAGTCTCTTTGCTTGTGCCCAATGCCTCCTTTCTAGACTTATCCGCTGATTCTTTGCTTGCCTTTGTACTTTTAGAGCTCGACTTAGGAACAGTCTCTTTGCTTTCGCCTGACGACTCCTTGCTAGACTTATCCATTGATTCTTTGCTTGCCTTTGTACTTTTCGAGCTCGACTTAAGATCAGTCTCTTTGCTTTTGCCTGATGACTCATTGCTAGACTTATCCGTTGATTCTTTGCTTGCCTTTGTACTTTTCGAGCTCGACTTAGGATCAGTCTCTTTGCTTTTGCCTGATGACTCCTTGCTAGACTTATCCGTTGATTCTTTGCCTGCCTTTGTACTTTTAGAGCTCGACTTAGGATCAGTGTCTTTGCTTTCGCCTGATGACTCCTTGCTAAACGTATCCGTCGATTCTTTGCTTGCCTTTGTACTTCCCGAGCTTGATTTAGAATGTGTCTCTTTGCTTTCGCCTGATGACTCCTTGCTAGACTTATCCGTTGATTCTTTGCTTGCCTTTGTACTTTTAGAGCTCGACTTAGGATCTGTATCTTTGCTTTTGCCTGATGATTCCTTGCTAGACTCATCCAATGATTCTTCGCTTGGCTTTGTACTTTTAGAGCTCGACTTAGGATCAGTCTCTTTGCTTTTGCCTGATGATTCCTTGCTAGACTTATCCGTTGATTGTTTGCTTATCTGTGTATTTGTGCCTGAAGACACCTTACTTGTCTTAACGCTTGTTTCCCCGATAGCAGCACTTTCAGATCTTGACTGATCTTTTGTTTCCTCACTTGTACCTGATGACTCAGTATCTGCACTTGCCAACCCATCTTTGCCCTCCTTTCCAGCTCCTGAAAATTAAATCATGAGACAGAAGAGTTGAAATGCAATGTTTTAGATGTATAACTTGAATTGTGTCATTTTAGTGTCAACATCTGACGTTATACTAATATCACTTTCATTTAAAGAATTAATTGGTTATGAAAGTTAATATGATGTTATAACTATATCAAAATAATTCATTGAGAGAAAAGATGTCAAACCCTAATGCGGGCATGGGGAGGGGGTCGCCTCTGCTTTTTCCCCTGGTACTCTCTGCCATGAAAATTTTTTTTTTTGTAATCATAGTAGCCATATATTAAATAAATATAAAGTAAATACATTTTTAAACAAGCCATATTACAAGGTAATCGGACTTTTTTACAATGTTATCATATTGCGGCGCAAAACAAACCACGTTTTGCACTTTGATCGAAATAATTTGAGCAAAAAATGAAATTAATTTCGGGATGTCCTGAACATGTCTATCAGATGTCCGCAAAACAATATGTACCAAATATTCCATTCTATTCACTCAGAGGTGAATACATGTTCATCTTTACCTCAATATATTTCCCGCAGCCTGGAGGGCAATGGGAATATATTAAGGGGTTCACTGCAGACATCAGCTGATTGAGATTCTAGTGGGATATACCTCTCATATGTACTATGCGTATCATGATGTCATACCTCTCAGATGTACTATGCATATCCTGATGCCATACCTCTCAGATGTACTATGCATATCATGATGTCATACCTCTCTGATGCACTGTACATATCATGATGTCATACCTCTCAGATGTACTATGCATATCATGATGCCATACCTTTAATATGTACTATGCATATCACGATGTTATACCTCTCAGACGTACTATGCATATCATGATGTCAAACCTCTCAGATGTACTATGCATATCATGATGCCATACCTCTCAGATGTACTATGCATATCATGATGCCATACCTCTCAGATGTACTATGAATATCATGATGCCATTACTCTCAGATGTACTATGCATATCATGATGTCATACCTCTCAGATGTACTATGCATATCATGATGTCATAGCTCTTTGTTATTTGCATAATGCAAACTGACAACATCAAAATTCAACCATTTCAATAGATTTTATTCATCGAAAAGTGTTTTTTATGTGTAGTAATGATAATTCATCGTGTAAATTAGGGTTAAGTAAAGGGAGGTTAAATTGAAAGTTACATACCCTTTTTTCCATCAGCAAATGGTACCAAATTCCATAATAAGATAACACAGAGATAAACTGCAACTTCAAGCCGATGCTTCATTTTCAAGCTTAACGTTTCAAAAATGGTATATTTAATAAAAAAGATCCTTCCAAAGTCCAATTTCTGTCAACTAAAAAACAGTAATGAAGTCTGAAAAAAGTCTCATATTTCTTCTAAGTATTAACATCCTGATCTTAATATCGCACAAATTGATCGAAACATATCAGGTGACTAATTTAAATGCAAATAGATATTCGAGGGTACCTGTACAAAGCATATTTTCGACGATTCACGAATCACAGAAAAGACTTTTCGGCAAAGCACATTACAATGTGACTATTATGAATACAATTTATTTTGAATCAGGGTTCATTACTATGATTAGAAACACGATTGGCATTCAGCCCATTGCCCAATAGGCAATTCGTATTTCAAAGTTCAATGTTAAGAGTGAAAAGTAATTGTCATCGTCATTGTCATTTCATATCAAGCGCTAGCCTTTTAGTGTCATCACTTTTTTGCGGAGGCTCGTATTTAAAAAGTAAAACGTACTTTTAGAAGGTAACAATTTTTTGTAAAACGATCATGCCTATCGGGACACTTATAATTTTAAATGAAACGAAGAATTAAACTCACTAACTTAACCCAAAAGCCCCAAAACTAACTAAACCCAAATGCTGTTTTTGCGTGGTACACAGTAATAGCTCTTATGCAAGTATCTGGTTAATGCTGCTCCTAACTTTGATAGCAAGTAGCCCAGAGATGAATTGGAAATGACAAACAACCTTTTTTACTCTCAGAGGAGTAATCTGAAATTCTAGTTCTATTTTTTCTAGTTTTTTTGGGATGAATTTAGGATTAAATATGTATTTATTAAAAGTGCATACAACAATAGTTATCGTTGAGTTTTTTTTGAGTATTATATGGATATGTTTGTATTACCAGAGTAGATCTATTAATAGTTGCAAAGTATTTATTGATCTGACATTACAATGGTCTTCTTAGTAATCGTGATCTTAGAGACATTTAGCATAGTTCCATTATTTTTTTTGTTGAACAGGCATATCTTTAAATGGCGTGTTTACTTTCATTCAAAGCACGCTGAGAAATAGAAAGGATCTGAGCTATTATTCAACATGATTATTTCTGTTTTTGAAGTACGTCAAGATATTTAGGGTCAAACTTATCGAGTGAACTTTATTGTTATTTTTGAAGTGTCCTCGTACAGTTTTGGTATAATTCTATTGTTTTCGTTCAGGGTCCTAAGAAATTAATCGACGCGTTCAGAAGCATTAAAAACAAAGATATACTTTCTAAAGCTGCCACACTTATAAAATGATTTTTTCAATGTATGCATATAAAATCTATAATGTTTATGTTTATCTGCTGCCCTCTAAGTCTAATATATAGATTACAAACTTCTTTCAGGAAAAGTTAATACATACAGTTTTGGAGTTTTTAAAGTTGATTTTGATATTCATTGCAGGGTTTCATTTGGAAGAGGGAAATGAGGGGCCTGATAACCCTTATCTTGTCGTTTTATAAATTAAAGGTTATGCTGCTGCATTTATATTGAGCTACAATCAAATAATTACAAATGTGTTTTGTAAAACTTTTTTCGAATTTCCCTTATTGAACTTGTGCTTACACTCCCCTCCATAAGTTTGGCAACCTTTTCCCCCCATTGAACTACGTGTTAAAGCCTCTTTACGTTTGAATTTTTATTTACTTAACCGGCGATAAAATAACTTATACTATTGATGGAAACGTAACTTGACTTTATTTCCAATACCTCCAAATTTTCTCAATTTTTTTCCTAAATTACAATAGGTCGAAAATTGATGATAAATTTGATGAATTTTTGAAAATCGTCATTCCCATGTAATCCAATGGGAAATGGAGGGTTCGGGGCAAATCAGAAATCAGGATATCTTTTCAGTAAAAGATTCAGCAAAAAATATTTTTATATAGAAAATTGAATTGTCTAACTTTTTTGAACACTAAATGTTTAGTTTATTTGATGAATATTAAAGTTACAGCGCTTCAAAGTCATTTTTGAAAATATTTTTTCGCCTCCTGTGTTATTTCAATGGGAGAGGTTTTTTGAAAAACAATTTTGACTTTAAAGCCCTATAAGTTTGTTGAACCTGAAGAAACATATCATTTTTTTGTTAAATGAAGTTAGCAAATTCAATTGCCTGCCTAACTCGTATTTTTTGCAAGGACTCGGATAGATGGATATTCTGTCATATGACTTGCGGCGAATCTACCATTTCCCATTGGTTAACATGGGAATGTCGATTTTCAAAAATTCATCAAATTTATCATTAATTTTCGACCTATTGTAATTGAGGAAAAAAATTGTGAAAATTTGGAGGTATTGGAATTAAAGTCAAATTACGTTTCCATCAATATTATAAGTATTTTCATCGCATGTTAAGTAAATAAAAATTCAAAGGTAAAGAGACTTTAACACGTAGTTCAATGGGAGAAAAAAGGTTGCCAAACTTATGGAGGGGAGTGTACATATTCCTATCAAGGGCCAAGCTGTGCATCAAATCCCCTGACCTTTAGTAATATAATAACGTCAAAATCAGAAGTGAATTTCTATAGACCATTATTTTCAAATGTTTATCATTCAATAATTGGTATGTCAAATATCTTGTACAATCCGAGCCTTATGAAACAGTTAACAAAGGCTTTCCCAATGTTATACACTGAAGAAGCTATTTTTGGACGAACGTACTAGAATCCGGCCCAACATTGAATATCTCGATCAAGTGCAATATTTTTATTAAATCATTAACAATAGAAATTGAGTTAAACATGATAAGTTTTGAGTTGAAATATAACGGTTTCTTGCGTAAAGTTTACTATGGAATGTGAATGATTGGTAAATCTAACGGGTCCTGTGAAACAACCACTTTTCCTCATTCTCGATTATTCCCTATTATTGTTTACCTCATAGAAAGAAGCACAATATACGAAATAATTGAATAGCAGAGTTTATTAAAAATATAAAATACAATATTGTGATTAATTAAAGATAATTAAAGAAAGGACTGATGGATGCATCGATAAAATTCACCACACATTTGTTCGTTATGAATTTAATCACGAAGCCTAATGATACGTACAATGATACGTACAATGATACGTACAATGATACGTACAATTAATTACAAAGCCATCGGTTAATTTGTCATCTAAGACGAATACATACAATAGGCTATTTAAGTATATAATAGGTATCCGATTACAAAGGCTACATTAATAAGCATTTCATAGAAATACTTTAATAATATTGTTGATTATGCACCAGACTCCTCTAATATCTCTCTTTTGCGAGAATGCTTTTTGAAATAACCTTTACAATTCCGACCATTGTTAAACATCAATATCAGTTAATGTGACGGACGATACAGAAGCAATGCTATGTCGAGGACTGTAACGTCCAGAGACACGGCGAGAATCACGGCGAGGGGAATGCCCCTCACTAAGCTCCGACACAGATATTCGTCTAGGAGGAGTGGGACCTGAAGCTGAAGACACTGAAGCTCTGCGGTTAGTATACCAAGTTGGTGCAACAGCTTGATCTGTCGTGATCTCATTTGTAGCAGACATACGTCTGGGAGACCGGGGAGCCAAAATGGATACCGAAGCTCTGCGGTTAGTATTCCTAGTTGTTGAATCATTATGACATTTTGGAATCCCATCCGTAGCAGACATTAAGGAACGCGTTCCTATCCCATTTGTTGTACGACCAGACACTAAATTAATCGTTGAGTATTTGCGATTGTTGTATACTGATGGATCTTCGGGACCAATGTCACACTCTTCGTCTTCACCATCGTCAGGGTACTTTTCATCGAATTTTCGTTTCCGTCGTTTTCCTTCAATTAAGGAGCGTTTGCAACAACTCTGGAAAGAAACAGCTTTGTATAACATTCGAAACATGTCAGTGCAGTGCAATATATTACGTTACGTCCAATCAGTCCGTAAGTACGTTTTCGAGAACGTAGCTATTATGGGAACTAGTTTGGTGTGAGGGTAACAAATATATATTTCATTTCCAAACCCCCTATCACACTAAATTAGATCTCAACAGTCTCTCCAGTCCCACAAAAAGTTGTAAAATGGTATACACCCGGCTGTGGTTGGGATCATATATAATGTCAAAATTAATTAGTTACTTCGTTCATAAACAGTCTTCAATATCCCGCGCTCAATACGTCCATCTTATTAAAGTCACTATGGTTTTATTGTTTGAAAACAGATGTACATGTACCAAAGATATTTATACTTACCGTTTTTAACAGTACCACTGCTGTAGTAATGATCCCGAGCATAACTAGAACACCAAGAATACCAGCCAAAAATATAGGAGTTTGTAAAAAGTTAGGTCCTTCATCAGCGCCACCGATAGGGTTTGAAGATTCAGATTGCGCGGTTTCATCTGAAACGAAAGGATATAAATGTACAACTGCTTGTAAATCAAGTTATTCATATTTCTTGAGTTTTTCAAATTTAGCATTAGTGTCTTCTTTTTCTGGGTGGTTTATTCATTCTTCAACCTAGATGGTATCATGAATCTAGCCATTATATTTTGGTGTCTTTGGTTAATTTATTCTTGTTGTATATTTCATGAACAGTATTAATACTATGATTATTTAAGAATGCATGAAATATTATTGAGATTGGGGTGTACCTTTGTTTTGTATAATACATTTCAATATAATTGTGTATTTCTCCACACCAAGAAATTAAAAATAGCCACACATAAGAACTTCTTCAGTTGCACTGTGTTAATCGGCAGAACTTAGTACAAACCTATTATGCCTGTTTTGGTTACACTTTGTAGGATGTTCACATTTATCTGTTTAGCAAATACAAGACCCGTATCGTTTCCAGTGCTAGTATCTGAACGCGTTGTCGCCGCATGGGTGTCGATCGTTGGTGAGACATCACTTTGCAAATTTGTTGGAAGTGGAGCTGCATTTAAATTTGAGGGGTCGGTTGTCAGTGTTGTTTTTCTTGAAAAAGCAGTTCCTGGGGTAACTGTATTCGAGGAGTCAGTTGTTATGGCAACCTTAATTGAAGTAGGCCAATTAGAGGCAGAGATGCCATCGGCGTTTATTGAAGTACCTGGAAATAAGATCACGTCATAATTTGAACAACATACTACGTTGTTGTTTACAATTTGAAAGCAGATTACAGGATTATTACTACAAGGTGATATGTATGTGCTAAAAGTTAATGAAATTTACTAATGAAATCGTGTCATTTATAGTTTGACTTTGAAAGTACTCAGTTTTAAATTCAGATTTTATATAATATTGAGATAAATTATACGAATCTTAATTCAGATTTTATATAATATTGAGATAAATTATACGACAATCCTAACATTGTAAATAGGATCCAAATGACTTTATGTATGTTATTCGTGTGCTTATGTAGATTTGCGCAGACATTTAAGGATTACATTCACATCAAAGGACATTTTGAACTCGAATTAGTTTTTGTCACGCAATGTCTACTAGACATACGGCATATTATGATAAAACTATTTGATATTTGGAGTATTACTTATGACGAATTGATCTCTTAGACTTTTCATTTTCTCCACCTGGTATTGTAACACTATTTGTTTTTTTCCCTTTTGCACATATCGATTATGATATGGTTCTATTTTATCAATTCGATGTTATTTGCGAAATAGCGTCTACTATGTAGGTATTGCAATGTTGATATGAAAACTCCCTCGCGTGGCTATATTTAGGTTTCAGCAAAATCAAAATATGATCGGCGGTGCTTTTTTCAGAACAAATGAAAATAATTTCCATAGCCAAGAAAGAACGCTTTGTATGATGTGATAGGAAATTATTCTATACAGGGAAAATGCACCGAAAGTGCTTCCTTCTCGGAGGAAAGGTTTCGGTCTCGGTGACATGCGGAGATTCACTTTGTTGTAATTCTTCTTTTGTGAGAAGAAATAACTACTATTGACACCCTCTTAATAACTAATACATTATATAATTTACTCTTCCTGCTCCTGTCAAGTTTAAGTGACAGTTAGAAACTGATAAAAATACAATATATCAACTTTGGACAGCGAGTATGACACTTAAAACAAATGCATGTTTGAGCATCATCTGAGACACTTATTTCCATAGTATCGCAACCGACCAAACTGCCTAGTTTCCATACACGACCGGATAAGGAACATATGCCATCCCTTCGCCAATTGAAAAGCTTGTTTTAACCATCATTTCTTAAATACCAAAACCCCGTCCCAAACTAACTTGGTTAGTTCTTGACCAAAAATGTATCTTAATATGTATCTATCTCTGTCTCTGTTAAAACAATTTGCATTGTTGAGTCAAACACTGCCCCGATGGCTCAGAAAAGTGAACTATTTCAAATGTTCTCTTTACAGGCTTTGTTGCCACTTTACAGATGCCACCTTAAAAATCTCTTTATCTCACCTCTAGATGTATTAATCCCTACTGTGACGTCCGAGTTATTTGCAGTTTGTGAAGGTCCCGTTGTATCCATTTTGACGGACTCAGCATTAGTGGATATCGATTCAGTTGTTTTTGACATAGTAGATCTTGACTTAGTTAATGCAGATTCAGAAGAATCAGATAGAGGTGAAATTGTAAAATTAGATACACCAAAAGAAGATTCAGTTGGGGCTGATCCATTAGAAGCTGAATTAGTGGAATCAGATTCAGTTAGCTCAAAACCAGTAAAAGGGGCATCAGTGGAATTATATTCAGTTGACTCTAAACCGATAGAAGCAGATTCGGCGGATTCAGATCTTATTGAGTCTAAATTAGTAGGAGCAGATTCACGGGGTTCAGATTTAGTTAAGTTTAAACCAATGAGAACAGATTCAGTAGATTCAGAGTCAGAGTGTGACCAAGTTGGCTCTGATTGAGTGGAAACAGATTCAGTGAAAGTAGATTCAGGGGGATGTGATTCATTGGAAACATATTCAACAGAGTCAGATTCGACAGATTCATCTTCAGCAGTTGATAATTCAGTATTGTGTGACCCAGTTGGCTCCGATTCAGTGGAAGCAGATTCAGTGAAAGCAGCTTCTGTGAAATGTGATTCAGAGGAAGTGGATTTTGTTGAATTCAATTTAGCTGAGTATGATTTATCGAAAATAGATTCAATAGAGCCTGATTCGACGGATTCAGCTTCAGTGGTTGAGAATTCAGAAGAAAATGATCCAGTTGGGTCTGATTTAGTGGAAGCAAATTCGTGGAAAGGAGATTCGGTTGAATTAGGTTTGAGTGAATCAGCTTCATTGGCTGGGAATTCAGAAGAATGTGATTCAGTTGGCTCTGACTCAGTGGAAGCAAATTCGTGGAAAGGAGATTCGGTTGAATTAGATTTGAGTGAATCAGCTTCATCGGCTGGGAATTCAGAAGAATGTGATTCAGTTGGCTCTGATTCAGTGGTAGCTAATTCGTGGAAAGGAGATTCAGTTGAATTTGAATTGGAGGAACCGGCTTCAGGGGTTGGGAATTCAATTGAAGCAGATTCAGGGAAACCCGATTGCGTGGAAATGGATCCAGTTGAAGAAGGTTCACTAGGAGATTCAACAATTGTAGAATCACTAGAAGTGTTAATGGAGTTAGATTCTACAGTAGAAGAAACAATCGAGACAATAGTAGCAAGTGTACTGAGACGAATTGTTTCAAGTTGATCGGTTGATTCAATGCCAGACTCTGGTAATTCTCCTGCCCTGGGATTAATAGTCATGCGATCATTGAAGTTCTCTTCATCAGTGGGAGATGTCGGATCTACTCCTGTCATACCATGATCCCCCCGTGTTGCGCTAATAGTATGAACATCCCTGCTCAAACCACAGCTTTTTCCAAGATTTCCAAGATGTTCCGTGCAAGGGTTCGAGAACCCACGATCATAAGATTCAGGAACGCCTGTTCCAGGTGCACATTGTTTCCTCGCATAGTCCAACTCCAAATTGATCGTTACCCAATAGCAATGAAGGTAGAAGCAGTTATCAGTGGGATCTGCTATAAGTTCGTTGTTCGCACTGCATTCTATGTTGGGAACCTGTGAGTTATCATGTAGTAAGGCGCCATCTGTCACAAATAGATCAGATATCAGTTTAAAAAAAATGATGGAGTAAGTCTAGGTTATAATAATATTATACATTTAGTAGTGTGTAATAATAAGATTTATGTTGTACTGATGCCTAAGGCCAAACGTACATCCAACAATAAAATAGATATAAATATAATTACAATTTCACAATTACAGTAAAAATAGTAATAAACAGTACTCAATTCTTCAAATTATGCTGATGAAAATTACAAAATTAGAATTATAATGACTTGATATAAGTGCATGTAAAATATGATATGAGACGGTACATCTTTCAGGATGGTATAAGCAAGAAAGCATCTTCGATTACTATACTATGAAATAGATATCAACGTAGACAACCAAGGAGGATTGGAAGCCGTTACTCGACACACCGTTGGCCGGTGTAAACCAATTTGGTAACAATATTATATATTATTTTGAAGACAGAACTGCAAAAACCTGAATATTACCATGACAATATTTGTAAAGTCAATCTTTCAAGGGAATGCTTGGTCAAAAGAGAATAACTGGAGTAGATATCAACGTAGAAAACTTAGTCGAATCTCAGTTAGAATTAAAAATGTTTTGACATGACTGGTATTGTAAAAGAGCTCGATAGTAAGTAAGTGGCTTGAGACAGGGAATGAACGGTTGTTATCAACATCATATAAGAATTTATAAAAAATACATGCCGATTCAGTTCAAAATCCAAGATAGTCCTCCTCAACCCCCGGTTCATGTTTGTTTCCCTTTGTTCAAAATTTGCATAAATAAATCTTTAAAAAGTACAAATGAATCCTATTATATACTTCGATTAGTAGTATGTTTAATATTACATTTGCATGTATTTTATTGGAAACAAGGTAACTATCAATGTTTAATAGAATTTATTTTGATTGGCACCACCCTACAAATATAATAACCTTGTCGGCCCTCTACCCCAATCACCTTGACTTTAACGCCAAACGTTTCATTTATTTGTGGTTCAAGCTAGGAAAATAATGGATCAAAGAAACCTTGCAAGAAAGTAATAATAAGAAAACCGGGAGGGGAGGGGGGGGGGCAATTTGACCCTACCGTGCAGACACTAGGATTAAGGCAATTGGAGCCGATCAATATCTCAAGTGCTATGTTAATGCTGACAGAAAACAACAAGCTTATGTGGGCTGTAGCCTCTAAGGAAATACTAATCACATTTTGTTTTAACGGAATGATATCAATGCCTGTTCAGTAATTCTTTGTTTTCGTGGATTCAGGGAGTTCATTCAAATCACGAACGAAATAACATGATTCAGATCAGATTTTGCACTTGGCAGTATAATGCTTCATTCTTGATATACCCGAGCGATTAAATATTTTTCAATGTCTTAACGAAGACTGGAAGAAAGTGGACTATGCCCGAATTACTGACATACCTGGGAAACAGAACACAAATACTTTTTAAATATACATGTATGTATGTATGTGTGGATGACACGAGGCCCGAGAGAAAGTGATTTTCTGATACATGGTAACATATCATAATATAAGCGTCGACGGTGCAGAAAAACCCAGCAAAATTAAGACCGTACCTTCTCCGTTACATTTTGAGCATATTGAAAAAAAATCTGGAAGGGGAAAGGGTCGGCCGAAACGTCCCCTCCCTTCGGACGATCTTGAATGCACGAGTACTAACGATATACGATAATAAAATATCTAAACAGCGATTGACCCAGGAAACCGGAAGAATTCAGCTACATAAACACTACGCTGAAACAAGATATGACATAGCTTTTAAAGATGCAAAATGACCAGTTTCAACAAGAATGGGCGGGTCATACGCAGGATAATAATGCCTGTATGTTAGAGCTAAAATAAGTACATTTCTGATATACATGTGCCCATATGTGATGAATAACCTGGACACCCTTCGAGAGAATTTATCTAGAATTCCGAGAAACAATTACCTTCATTAGTATCCAACCCTTCATCATGTGCACTTAAGTTAAATGTATCTATTTAGAGTTCCACCTCTTATCGGTTAAATGAGTGGTTAAGTTGCAAAGTGTATAGAGCGTGATTTAGCACATGCAGAGGAGTGTTCATTCAGACGCTTTCTGAACATAATAAAACCATTTTTCACTTGAAGAACATAAGTAAATGAAAATAACTGTACATGTTTTACCTTTCAATGAAGAGAAATCCTCGAGCGATACAGTACTTGATTGCTGATCACTTGTTTTCTCTGCACCTTCGTTTGAATCCAATTCATCACTAGCATTCGTACCTACACTCTTGAATTCTCCACTGGTATCTATACTGGATTTAGACTTTTTGGAGTTTGCCTTAGATTGAATTTGTAAACTAGCGACTAATGACTCTTTCTCAGGCTTAGAGCTTGTTTCTTTGCTTACTTCGGTACTGTTAGAGCTCGACTCGGATCCCGTTTCTTTGCTAAAGTCTGATGACTCCTTGCTTGATTTGGCGCTTGTTTCTTTGCTTGCTTTGGTCATTTTAGAGCTCGACTTGGATCCAATTTCTTTGCTCGTACCGGATGATTCCTTGCTTAATTTAGAGCTTGTTTCTTTGCTTACTTCGGAACTTTTAGAGCTCGACTTGGATCCAGTTTCTTTGCTAGTAACGGATGACTCCTTGCTTGATTTGGCGCTTGTTTCTTTGCTTACTTCGGTACTTGAAGAGCTCGACTTGGATCCCAATTCTTTGCTAGTGACAGGTGATTCCTTGCTTGATTTAGAGCTTGTTTCTTTGCTTACTTCGGTACTTTTAGAGCTCGACTTTGATCCAGCTTCTTTGCTTGTGACAGATGATTCCTTGCTTAATTTAGAGCTTGTTTCTTTGCTTGCTTTTGTCATTTTAGAGCTCGACTTGGATCCAGCTTCTTTGCTAGTGACAGATGACTCCTTGTTTGATTTAGAGCTCGTTTCTTTGCTTGCCTCGGTACTTTTAGAGCTCGACTTGGGTCCTGATTCTTTGCTAAAGTCTGATGACTCCTTGCTTGATTTGGCGCTTGTTTCTTTGCTTGCTTTGGTAATTTTCGAGTCCGACTTGGATCCAGCTTCTTTGCTAGTGAAAGATGACTCCTTGCTTGATTTAGAGCTCGTTTCTTTGCTTGCTTCAGTACTTTTAGAGCTCGACTTTGGTCCCGATTCTTCGCTAGTTACGGGTGATTCCTTGATTGATTTAGAGCTTGTTTCTTTGCTTGATTCGGTACTTTTAGAGCTCGACTTTGGTCCCGATTCTTCGCTAGTTACGGGTGATTCCTTGATTGATTTAGAGCTTGTTTCTTTGCTTGATTCGGTACTTTTAGAGCTCGACTTGGGTCCCGATTCTTTGCTAAAGTCTGATGACTCCTTGCTTGATTTGGCGCTTGTTTCTTTGCTTGCTTTGGTAATTTTCGAGTCCGACTTGGATCCAGCTTCTTTGCTAGTGAAAGATGACTCCTTGCTTGATTTAGAGCTCGTTTCTTTGCTTGCTTCAGTACTTTTAGAGCTCGAATCGGATCCCGATTCTTTGATCGAGGCTGATAACTCCTTGCTTGATTTAAAGCTTGTTTCTTTTCTTAGATCGGTACTTTTAGAGCTCGACTTGGACCCATATTCGGGTGACCCTTTGTTTGAAGAAACGCCAGATTCTTCGCTCGATTCAGTTTCTCTGCTTGTGGCTAGTGTCTCGTCGCTTGACTCGGCACTTGTTCCTTCACTAGATACCGCACTCACAGACACTCTGCTGGTGGATGTTGACTTACCAATCGATATGGATCTAGCAGCTCGGCTTGCTTGTGTTTTTTGACTGCTCAACTCGGCTTCTGAAAATGATTATATATTTACTTAAATCAAATATATGTCACCTTAAGTAGATTGAATAGACTACAATATCAGATTTTCCCAATGTAATAAACTTTATTTAACTTTATAATTGAGAGGAATTATGAACAATGGTTCTCTAATGTAATACAAATAAGTGTATTGTATTGTATTTCCATTATGCTATATTGATGAAGAGAAAAATTAACAATAAAAATATTTTAAACATGATAATGATAAAACAATATAATGTTATTTTAATTCATTAACATATTTAATTTTTGAATTTCACCGGTTTCTTTGTTTTGGCAAATTATTTTACATAATATGTTTTCGGGACTTTATAGAAAATTACATACCCATTTCTCCATCGGCAAACGCTACTGAATTCCACAGGAAGATAAAACCGACACAAATTGAAACTAAAGATCGATGCTTCATATCGTTTTGTTGTTTGACAAAATCAGATATATTCCATTTTATGAATATGCTCCGGGAAAATCCTTCTCTTTCCCAAACTTTGACCACAAAACTGACTCTCGTAAATATATGTAATCATAATGAAAATAAATTCACGCAATATAACCATTTTTATTTATGGACTATTTATACCATAGTCATTCAAATGTACACGCACGTCCGAAATAGAAGTATCAATGGAATCGTTTGAAGTCAACGCTATGGAAAACACCGATATTATACAATTAATCAATGCAACATTACAAATTATTGAAAACCAATCTCATTATTGTGTTACAAAGTTGAATGCAATCAAATTTAAGAACGTTAATCCGTTACCCTGGACATTGATTAGGTGAATGCTTTGTAAAATCTAATTTTGTTTAGGGATAAGTTGTTTACCTTTCCTATGTTCGAACGACGTTTAATCCGACCTATATTTAACTGCACAGTTATTTATAAGCTATAGGTACAGACGAGTCATGCATTTCAGAAATGAACATTTGCTTTGGTCAAAATGTTATGAGGTTTGATATCATAATTCTTTGAATGTCTTGAACATAAATTAATATGAGGTACACTCCCCTCAATAAGTTTGGCAACCCTAACTCCCTCATTGGACTACGTGTTAAAGCTTCTTGATGTTCGAGTTTTCATTTTCATTACAGCGATGTAAATCCAATTCAATTCAATTCAATTCACTTTATTTCAAATGTTAGTATTTAAAAATTAAAAACTTATGATAAAGGGGGAAATATGTTACTTGACTTCATTTCCAATGCCACTAATTTTCTTTCAACCACAATAAGTTAAAAATTGATGACTTTGATGAATTTTTGAATAATGCCAGTCCAATGTAAGCCAGTGGGAAATGTTGGTTTCGGGGTAAATCAAATTTCTGGATATCTATTCAGTAAATACTTCACCAAACATTTTTGATTATATAGAAAATTGAATTGTCTCATTTGCAAGTGTTAATTAAGTTGTGAACATTAAGTTACAGAACTTCAAGGTCATTTTTGAAAATCATTTTCACCTCTTGTGTTATTTAAAAGGGAGCGGTTTCTTGTTGAGACCTATAACTTTGTTGATGAACGTCGAGAAACATATCCTTTTTTGTTAAACAAAATTTGCAAATTCCATTTGTTTCCTTACTTGTATTTTTGGGAGAACTTGGATGGATGGATATTCTGTCATATGACTTGCGACAAACCTATTAGTTTCCACTGGTTTAACACGGGAATGGTGATTTTCGAAACTTCATATGAGAGTTGTCAACAATATCCGACCTATTGCTATTGTTGAAAAAATGAGAAAAATTTGAGGTCGAATGGTGTCAATTTATATTTCAAGCCCTAAAAGTAGACTTTTCTTTACGGATTATGGAAGTCAAAATTCAAACGAAAATAGGCTTTAGCATGTAATCCAACTAGGGAGTTAGGGTTGTCAAACTAATGGAGGGGAGTGTAAATAGTTATCGTAAATAGTTATTATAGTTAGAAGAATGAATTGGGCTTGATCTTAATCTGTTAATTAGGGACATCTATCGCACGTATCAGCGATAATAATTGTATCACAGTATCAACATGAACATTGGGGGTCCAAAATTAGACCGACTGGATTATTTGATGCTTGACCAAATAGCATCCAGATAATTGATTGCTGTATTTCTTTATTTCATATTATCATATCCCAAAGAGGATAATTCCTTTTCAAAGTCACAACAAAATATATAGGATGACAACCATTCTTGTCTATGGGCCAATGGCGGCAAATCAGTTTTTTTGCAAAAATTATGTATAGTATTATAAATGCATACTTAGAAAGTGCATAGTGAACTATTAATATCTAAAAATATAGGATGAAAACAATATCATTTGATTTCCAGCATCATTATCATCTCTGGTATCACCACATGATGAATGAAACATTATATGTATTATGCTCGCGGAAATGTAATGCTTTAACAAGGTATTGGATAACCAATATCATAAATGCTATCAAAACCGATCCTTAATGATACAATACAATAGTGGTGTCTTTAAATTAATGAAAAGGTGTGAACAATCCATCATATCATTGTGTCGTAATAATTGGATATGGTAGACAGTCTTTGTCTATGGTAACATGAAGCCTTTAATTTAGAAGTAATACGTTGGTCTGGAATTACTATTTAGCTGAATATGTGATTCAATAGATATTCTATAATCTCAGTTGCTTGTTCACAAAATATTAATGAATAACTTTGCGAAAAAGACGATTCTCGGCATAGCAATTGTTCTCTAGTCACTAGCGGATCTAGAGGGGGGCGTTGGGGAGGGGCGCACGCGATTCTAAGAGGTGGGCGCTGTTGGAAATTGACCTTATATCTCCCTTTTGAAAGAAAAAAATTCTAGATACAATTTTAAGAATGCTTAGCATCACTAATTAAAAGTTATTTCATTATTAATCAGACTATGAACAGACTATTCAGTATGTACAGGGGAAATCCGCGGAAAATGAAGCTCAGAGGCAGTTAAATTTTTCCACAGTGTACGAGTCTTTAATTACACGATCATTAATCTAGTTTTTTAGGAATAACTGTTGCTCAAGCGAGAGTTCAATCCAATAAATCTGAATCATATGGACGTTTCAGTTAAATATTTAATTTTGTAGTTTAGTACCCGTTACGCCTTAACCCCTCTTAACCGAGAAAATTCTACTTGAAATAACCAGATAAAGACATTTTACGGACTGAATAAATCGGTCAGTTTGATTGACCGATAAATTGGGAGTACATTACATAGTTTTGATGAAAATGGCATTTTAGTCGACATATTTAGAATTTTCATCTGTACGTGGTTAATTGAACATGTCACTGAAATAAAGCATCTACGATTAATTAGCGGAAATGATGAATACCCGACATTCCAGTAATTAACCCTAAAATGGTATAAGTATTAAATTATATTCTAGCCATATTTGAGTTTTGTTTCAATCGTGAATGAGTTTTGTTTCAATCATAAATGCGTTTGGCTTCAGTTGTGTAACTTTGTTGTACAGGGTGATCGGAAAAATGAGACCATTGAAGTAAGCAATACATCATAAACTAGACAAGTGACATCAGTGGAATTTAAAACACACCATAACAATTCTATGGAAATTTGTTCCTGAAAGTTTCAATATAACCAGTCGACTGGTTCAGGAGCTGTGATAATTTACAGTACATGCCCACATTTGCCACAATCGAGACCAAGGTAGAGCTGGATTCATATGGCAAAATTGCAAATTACCCTTACCCCATTCAAATTTTGTTATGGCATTACATTTAGCAGTGTTTGCCTTCCTTTGGTCAGCAAATGTCTGAGGATTGTTTTTGGTATACATTAATTGTTTTTCAAATAGCCCTACAAAAAGAAATCAGATGGATTCAAGTATATGGATTCAAATATAGTCTTGTTTTAGTTTATAAAAAGTAAACGTTCACAAAGTTTCAGTTCTTACAGTGTTTCATTTTATTTGATCATGAAATATTTTGATGAATGAAGATCGATTGTATGTCATTTGAACTGCGGATTAGGTGCAACAGACATTGAACATTGAATAGTTCTTTCGAAATACAAGTACATCTTAACTCATTACCTCTTCGAGCTTGGAGAAGTTCAGTGACGTAGCTAGCTACAGGATTTCTCAATGAGGGGGGGGGGGCAATGAGGCAAGTGTTTTAGATCATGGCGCATTTTTCTCTTTTTGATGGGGCAAAAAAGAGTATGAAAAGTATCAAACCTATGCAAATCAGTACAAGGGCCGATCCAGAAGTTCTGATAAAAATGCTCTAACGTTAAAAGTTCTCTTCGAGCTTGGAGAAGTTCAGTGACGTGGCTAGCTACATGATTTCTCAGGGGGGGGGGGTCAATGAGGCAAGCTTTTTAGATCATGGTGCACTTTTTTCTCTTTTTAATGAGGCAAAAAAAGAGTTTTAAAAGTATCAAACGCTCTAACGTTAGATCTAACGTTTTCCATAGAAAAACCATGTGTTAAATATCGAAAGATGGGGAAATTTCATTAGCTTATAACAAGACATAATGACTTCAGTGTTCTAGAAATTGTGACAGTTTTTGCTTGGGATATAAACCACTAATTCATTCTACATGATTTCGTATTATACTATGATTTGTCATTTAACCATGCATTACTTCTTTGGGTGAACATGACATAGTTTGCATCAAAACATGTCGTATACCTGCAATTTTGATAACCTTTAGGTAAGAAATCCCAAATTATATTCAAACTACTACGGTATAGGCAAAATTGAGCATCTAGTCTTATATGTTGTATGTTCTTGTTATTATGTTTGCGTGAAGGCTCATAGCCAGGGGGTTTGATGGGTTCGAGTGACCCCCCCCCCGGCAAAAGCTAGCCTTTCACTGCATTATTCTGTTGAACTTCATGACCGGTACTTAAAGTACCATATGCCAGTTATCGATCCATAACAAAAACGAGTCTCGCGAAAATGCCATTAGTGAAACAAAGCCAGTTGAAAAAGCAAATAAAACGTATCGGTTGTTAGGATTATACAAACATGTGAATTGAGATTTTATCTGATATAGGATTCAACAGTAAAAGCACACCTGCGGAAACTAGTAGGGATAAGTGATGTTAATGTCGACGAATTCCGATTCCATCTGCTAGGATTAAATCCAATGTAACTGGCCGCCAACGGAAATTACGATAAAGGATTAGACTCTAGATACTCTAAACACAATTAACGTTAATGATCATGTAATTATAAAATATGGCAGGTTAAAAGGTATGGGATGTGTTCTATTATTCTATATAATTACGCAACCAAATAATCCTATTATACTGCTAACATGACAGGCCCGTGGCCAGGGTTTGCCAATGGGGGTTCAGTTTTCAAAAATGTCCAGGGGGGTTCACATTTGACAATTTTGGTCCAAATATGGATAAAATCACCTGAGAATTGCTCAAAATGGTGGAAAAGTGCATTGATTTTGAATTTTTTGGCCAGGGGGGGGGGGGGTGGTGCGAGCCCCCTCTGGCTACGGGCCTGCATGATACTTTAGTACAGGGTGTTAAAAAAACGCAACCCAAAGAAATCGCGATATCTTGGAAAATACTAATCCAATTATGTTCATATTTTCAGGAAAGAAAGAAGAGACTGTGTATGTATATCCCCTGTTGTGAGTTAGTTGAAAAACATGATGTCTTGGAGACTTGCTCAAAAGACAATTGTACTAGCAAAATACGAAAAACGCGAATGGAAAATAACTATATCTTGGAAAATACTGATTCATTTATGTTTATTTTTTCAGGAAAAGAAAGAAGAGACTGTGTATGTATAGCTCCTGTTGTCAGTAAGTTGTAAATCATGATGCCTTGGACACCTGCTCAAATGACAGTTGTACTAAGAAAATATGAAAATGCAGTCAGAGGTGACTGCCACAGCAATAAACCAAATAACTTTCTAACCATGGTGTTTTGGCACTTCAGAGTTGGCACAAATTATCCTCATTCAATGTGTGGTGAATTTGTAGAGTTTCATCAAAATCACTCCAGGGACTTTATAGTCATGGTCAAAATGCCTTCTTAAGTCTCCCTGAACCAGGGCGTTTGACTGCGATTTGAAGCCATTTCAACCATGACAGTGAAGTCCCTGAAGTGATTTTGATTTCACTCTACAGATTTATCATAAAGTGAATGAAGATGGTTTGTGCCAAATTTGAAGAGCCAAAACACTATGGTTAGGAAGTTATTTAATTTTCTTGCAGTTGCAGTCACCCCTGACTGCGTTTTTCGCATTTTGCTAGTACACCTGTCTTTTGAGCAGGTGTCCAAGGCATCATGTTTTACAACTAACCATTGACAGGAGCTATACATACACAGTCTCTTCTTTATTTTCTGAAAATATGAACATAATTGAACCAGCATTTTTCAAGATATAGCAATTTCTTTGGGTTGTGTTTTTTTGAACACCCTGTATATAGTCGGCATCATGATAAATCTCGACATCTCATTTCTTTCGAGTCTTGAGGTTGATGAGTGTGAAATTGAGATATTGCAATTCTTATTCATTCGCATTGGATAGCAAAGAAATAGGCAAGATGATCACTAGACGCTCATTCTTTATCCGAATAAGTATCAGGTATAGTTCAGCGACAATGCATAACAGAAGTTGATGTTTCTAATAAAGCATGTTTCATGAATAACAAATGATCGGTGGTATTTCCAATATTTCAGGAATAAAACAGCGGCAAATAATCTAAAAAAAATGCATCGGTAAATATCGGACTGAAGACTGCGCTGGATAGTATCTCAGGACTTATTGGATCTGATTTAACGCAAAGCTCTAGCGATTTTCCTCAATATCTATCGCAGAACGAACGAGTTATGGCATTTCTAGGCAAGGTCGGGGTAGATCAACCTCGGTCGTAAAGATCTAAAACGTGGAAGATCAGTATATCAGCAGAGAACAATGGAACAGTCAGTGAAAGATGAGAAAACATACGCTGTAGACCTAGCATGTATATGGAGAAGGTAGCGTGCGATTAAACTGGATTAATATTGTTCGATAATTCGATAAAGTCATACATGAAGTTATCTTGATCTGTAAGTCACCAACGCCTTGGTAAATGGGGCACTACAAATATAGAGGATTTAAGCACGTGGATGTTTACTCTTAAGCAAGCAAGGCGATACTTTTCATGACTGAAAATGTGAAGACATGGCATGATTCGGACAATTAAGCATAGCACGCTTGAGTGATTCGTAAGGATATGCATCGATGTAATAAAATGATGAGGGATTTTTTCGATATTAAAATTGCAGTTCACGCGCTTTTGTTTACAGTGATCGTCACCAGTTTGGAAGGTAAGCCGTCTCCGATAGAAACAATATACAAAGAGGAGGGAGATGTCAACCTTGCGGGAATGTTTTCCATACATACATATAGTGAAACGGAAACTTGCGGTGATACACTCCGTGATATAGCTACGATTCAAAACGTAGAAGCAATGGTATTTGCTATCCACAATATAAACGAAAATACAGAGCTTTTACCCAATCTAACACTCGGTTATGTTATAGTTGACGATTGCAGCAAAGATACGACAGCGTTGGGACAAGCGATGCGATTCATGCCCAAAAATTCCCAAAGCACCACGAACAAGAGAAGTATTTTCAAAGGAGATTCTGATAGCACTGAGCAATTTTTTGACGTTGCTGGTGTAATCGGGCCACAAAGCAGCAGTTCAAGCATGATGGTTGCTAGTGTGTTAAACTGGTTTCATATTCCGCAGATAAGTTACCAGGCAACGAGCGACTCACTTAGCGACAAAAATAGGTATCCGTATTTCCTAAGAATGGCTCCGCCTGACAAATTCCAGGTCGAAGCAATCGTTGACCTCTTAGTTCATTTCAATTGGACATTTGTCTCCACTGTCAACTCCAACAACGCGTACGGCCGTGATGCGATCAACACGTTTAAAATTCTATCGAAGAAACGAAATATCTGCATTGCGACATCGCAAGAAATTCGGCCGACTTATACAGAGATTGAATATGATTATATTGTCAAGAATCTTCTAAAACATGATCGTGCGAGAGCTATAGTCGTATTTTCTGATTATAAAGAAGCGACGGGGCTATTAGAGGCTGCGAGTCACCTTCAAACAGAGGGCCACTTTGCCTGGATAGGTAGCGAGGGTTGGGGTGCGTACATCAATGAATTCGACGATGTTTCTAGATATCTCGATGGAGCAATAGTATTGAAAACCTACTCCAAAACAGTTCCTGAATTCAATGAATACTTCAAATCGAAAACATTGCAAAATAATTTACAAAATCCATGGTGGTCGGAACTTTCGAAAAAGAAATTCAACTGTACCGTGAAAGAAATCTATAACGAAACTATAAACTGTCCGCATAACTCGAAGCATTCGCTTAGTGAACAATTTGAACCGAATCCATCTGTGTCGACAATCATTGATAGCGTTCATACATTTGCCAACGCTCTACACGCTCTTATCGAAAACTGCCATGTAGTTTCAGAAAACACTTCAAATCTTGAAGAGTGCACCAGAGGGGAAGATCTACTCAGGTATATCAGAAACATAAGCTTTCCTGGCATTAACGGACAGGTGAGCTTTGATAATAAAGGTGATGCGTTTGGCAAATACGAGATCTTATTTATGGAATACGAAGAAGAGCAACTGATACAGTATCCATTTGCGTTATGGGACTCAAAATCGAGAAATCTCACATTTGGCGAAGGTAAGCCTGAAGAACGCCTCGGCAAGAAGCAAACGAACACAACATCGACGTATATTCGAAGTAGGTTACCGTACTCTTCATGTTCTGAAGAATGCCCGACAGGCCATATTTACTTGTACCTGAAAGACACGTGTTGTTGGGAATGCGTGGCATGTAGTGTAAATGAGATTACCACCTTCAACCAAACAAGGTGCGAGACGTGCCCATTATTTTACTGGCCTAATCAAAATGACAAGGAATCATGCGATGAAATTCCCCCAACCTTTATCCACCTTACAGATCCTCTGTCAATCGTGTTGATCACCATGGCCAGTGTTGGGTTTGTGTCCTGCATGATCTGTCTCGGGGTGTTCATTGTACACAACGATGTTCGGCTCATTAAGTCCACTAGTCGTGAACTGAGCTATATTATGCTACTAGGTACGAGTGTTTCGTATCTTTTAGTGTTCACATTTCTCGTGAAACCAACACTCCCTTCATGTTACGTGAATCACGTCGGGTTTAACATGAGCTTCACGCTGATATACGCTCCGTTAATCACCCGTACCAACCGTATCTATCGGATATTCCGTGCCGGGAAAAAGACGAAGAAGGTGCCGCTTTGGAGCAGTCCAAGGTCCCAAGTTTTCATAGCCATGGCCTTAGTTGGAATACAGGTAACTTGACGATTTACACTCTCCACCTCAATATTTACATGTAAAATATTGCTTACTCGAAAATGGTAAACATTTTATAGTTAGTATACGCGCGGTATTTAAATTACCGTATATCAATTCTGTTGGCCACAATTGCTAGATGAACGAGTCTTATTAAAGAACTTTCGATAAACTGCGTTTCAGCCAAACTTATACTGCAACTTTAACTTTTAAATGACGTAAACACCACTTGGGAGGAGGGAAACCAGGAAAGTACATTTCATTAGTAAATCTTTCCTCGTTTCCTGATCGAGAGAATTGATTTTTGAATATCCCAGCAATGGCAGAATTAATTTCTAAGTTGTCATCATACATTGAAACTCGAACTCACAAACTCCATACTTGCCAAATATTTTGTGAATCAAAAGATAAAGGGCGGGATCAGGGACCCTATCTTCATGTCCAGAGTTCCTCCCCGGTGCTACACCTGAATGTACAAGTACAGGTGTGTGTATATGTATTCCATGACGAAAGCTCTCTATTGTTAAACATATTACGTTTATGATGAACAAAACTTTAAAGGGAGTATCGATACAAAAATGGATTTGGCAAACGGACGCAAACTATTTGCGTACAAATAATTATGTAGGCTTAAAAGTTATTCATCCTATCCCGCCCACGTGTATTGTGTAAGACGGTGGTAATATATTTTCTATTTGTCAAGGTAGGTGAGGAATTATACCTTCAAGGGTATCACATCAACTATTTTGCCATCATTAATTATAACAGAGACATAAAACAGAAGCTAAGACATACGACTATTTAATTAGAAATGACTCAACGTTCCAATTAATCAGAGTTCCGAAAAGGTAGCCGTATAAACTTAAAGTCACTGACGTTAGAAGCAATTTAAAAGTTATTTTTTTGTCGTTTGTCTTGATTATGATGGTTAAACTAAGTAGCAGTCTAAATGAGCGTGATTCCGATTGATCTTTTTTGAGTTAATTGAAATAAATAGTTAATGTCTATATCTAGCCAGACACCTTTGCGATTTAATCACTATAATAAGGTGACTTTGATCAACTTCAACAAGTATAACGACTACGACCCTTTAACCTCAATAACCGCTATACATTATGATTACGTGCGAACCAGTATTTAACCGATTTTACATCTAATACGCGCCGTGTCATTTTGTTCTTGAAATCGACAACACGTCTCAATATAACCCCATCGAATCGCGACTAATTTGCAAATTATGCTCATCAATGTGTATGTATCGAGCTTTACTTGGATGCATTGGGTAAAGCATGGACAAATATTGTCAATATGCGCCGTGTCATTTTGTTCAATATAACCTAATTGTTTCTCATCGAATTGCGACCAATTTACCAATTATGCTCATCCATGTATCTAGCTTATAACTTGGATGCATTGGGTAAAGCATGGACATACATTGTCAATACGCGCCATGTCATTTTGTTCAATATAACCTAATTGTTTCTCATTGAATTGCGACTAATTTGCCAATTATGCTCATCCATGTATCTAGCTTAACTTGAATGAATTGGATAAAGCATGAGCATACATTGTCAATACGCGCCGTATCATTTTGTTCAATATAACCTAATTGTTTCTCATGCCGAATTGCGACTAATTTGCCAGTTATGCTCATCCATTTATCGAGCTTTACTTGGATGCATTGGGTAAAGCATGACCATACATTGTAAACGTTTCAATCAGGCTATATTTTGGTATTCTTTTTTGTTTTCTTTTGATTCGATAGTGCACATGACTGCATGAAATATCCATTCCATGGCTAATGGAATACTTCTCTATTTATCAGTTTATAGTAAAGTCGACATTTTGCGTGCCCATAGCATATCAAATCCTCTTTGATAATCAAGATTATAAATCAAAGTTCAGCAACTCGCATTGAACATCATCTCACATCAACGGTGAAGGTTTTTATATATCACCTCTTCGACATATTTTGCTTATGCATTATCAGTTTCTTTAAATTCAAACAAGCACAAACTGCATTAATTCTTTGTTTATTCCCCTTATATTTTATTTTTAGGAACATATGACCGAAAGTTAATTGCATTTTAGAAAAGTTAGATAGCAATTTCGAAACAGTTGTCTAAATTGTTGAACTTTATTTTAAAAAATTATAATTTTAAAAGTACATTCTCATTTCAACTTCATGATGATTGTTACGGGGTAAACACGATACAAAAATATGTCATATTCCGCAACGAATATGGCATATTCACTTGCGATGTATGTCAGATTCACATGCGGTATATGGCATACACACTAACCAATGAGAACGTGATACGGAAGTACGCAAATGTCAGTTGCATCGATTGAACGAACAATAAACGTTATAAATTATTATAATGATTACTGAATCAACAGTACTGTGTGTGGAATATATTAACTCTGCAGAAGTATCAGTCACCAATCTCGCGTAATGAAACTTACTCAATCAATCCAGGATTCATATATTAGTGTCCGACGCACTAACTATATTGGTAATCCAGCGTAGTTTTACATTTAGAATCGATTCTCGCAACCAATCAAATCGAGGCTTTCTGTATCAAGTTTTCACCTGCGGTATATGTCATATTCACCTGCGGTATATGGAATATTTCGCAAGTGAGTATGACATATTCCGCAAGTGAGTATCGGGTATTCACTGAAATCAATGTATCGCATATTCACTGCGGAATATCGCATACTCACCTGCGGAATATGCCATATACCGCAGGTGAGTATGGCATATTCACCCGTATCACAAATACCGCGCAACCATGAATGTATGCCATATACCGCGTAACAATGATCTTCGCTAACGTTTTTTATAAACATAATTGGTACATTTGCATTTTGTACATCATTATCTCGTGGTATCATTTTATTACTTTAATCATATAATTTATTGCATGTGGATTCGTATGGAATGATTAATATGTCTACTGACTAGTAACACTGTAATTAACGTATCTCCTGAACTGTAACTGGAAATGTAATAGAACAATGATAAAAATAACTGTTTGCGATAACACTATATTACAGCTCAACGTTTGACTTGCAAATATACCTCAGATCCTTTTTTATCCCCTACCCTACCCTATCCTGCCTATTCATTGTATATTTCTTTGTATTTATGAAATAAACCTATTGATTAAAAATATACAGCTCACCTTTGTAGACAGCTGTGAGCAAAAAAGACAAAACGATAACAATTTTCGAAAGTTACTTTGAAACCAAAACCTTTTTTATATCACGGAACAAGAAAAGTTACATTTAGAGCTGCAGAAAGTAATGATTGATTACGTAACACGTACGCGTATTGTCAAATTACACAAGAGTTAATCTATCTAAAAACATCTAAAGAACTTTTATTTACAAGGTACAGGGTAATCTAATCTAAGAGCTAAACTACTCCAAACAAAAGTAAGATCGCGACTAAAGCTACGAAATTCCCATAAGTGAAAATATAGAGAGGAAGGTGGAAAGGTTGCTTTAAATACTAGCTTTCAGAATCATTTTTCAATAAAATCTGTTTGTTATTTTCAAATACCTTGGGATCTGTCAACTAGAAAGTTCAAAGTATGTAGAAGATGGTACTCCATTGTAAGAAGTTCAAACAGACGAGCAACAGCTGACTTAATTATTTGAATAAATGTACTGACATCTCTTTACTAAACAATATATTAATAAATACGGTACATCATACTGTGTGTACTTGCATCACAAGTATTTGTATTCCTTGCATACTGTTTTCTATTTTTTAAACGCATAAATTACATCACGGAAGTTATTGCAAAAGTAAACTTTAAGGTTTGTAACATGCAGGCAGCAGCATTGTTAGTGACACACATGATTTCAGCAAAACTATAACACTGAGCTTTCTAGATTTTATTACCAAGTTTGTCTAAGTATTTACTCATATGCCTGGTGTATAAGCAAGTAAAATTATTTCAAAATATCATTTAGATAACTCATTCAGTTAGTCCGATTTCATGGAAAACAACCCTTCCATTATCATCAATACGATGGGCTAACGTTAAAAGCACCAATGACTGGCCAGTGCACCATCTGTCTCATACTTCCCATTGTGCTACAATATTACGATCTACCCTGCGCGCAGAGTCTAGTACGAAGCTCTCGTTCAAGAAGCGAAGGCGAACGAATGCAAAGGGTATATTACATCTAGATTCAGTAGGCTTCAGTTGCTCCAATTTATATCACTTTGCTAGTCGAGGATGACAATAGTAAACTAATAGAAAAAAGTTGTTAAACATTGAGCTTTGATTTCTTGATCCCAAGATTTAGTTTTTTTTTCAATCGTAAAACGGGGATGGCTTTTCCAGGAAATCTACATATTGATAACGTAGTAAAACAAGGAGAGGACTTATCGCTTTCAAAGGTCAAGTTTGAATATAAAATGATACAGACTGTAATAATAACTAATCTTATGAAATCAATAATATAGATTGATACAGTGCATGGCAACTTGGACACAGGTACTTCTACCTATCATATTGTATGACCTAGAAGTAGTTTTATCGTTCTATGAATACTTGTTACTATAATGAAAGCTAAGTGAATTGTACTATTATTGTAAGTCTAATCGGGAATAACTTTTAGTGCTGTATTTGACCAACGACCTGTCTCAATGTGAAGTGGGAGGCTACCTGTTCTCAGTCTAGCAAGAATGGTTCTGTGATGCCTTGGAATGTATTCAGACACATATGGTTCATTAACTACTCCATATTTAAACAATCTGTATGTTCGAAGCTTATTGCCATTCTGTAAATTATTTGTATCATCCCAAATGTTTTTTAAGAAGGGGTCTTTTGCATTGAAACTGTCCTGTAAACGTTTTACAGTTGATTTTATATGCAAGAAAATATTATGATCAATAAAAATGCCATTCTTAGTCAGCATAGCTTTAGTGTGATAGTCCCAACTTCTTTTGTTTTTTAATGACCATCTATGTACCTTATGAT